TTGAGTCTGAGGAGCGAGGCGGCCACATATCTCTGGAAACATGAGGAGATACATTTTGCGCTGCGGGAATGGACCATCCTCGGGGAATGGACCCTTGTGGTCGCTGTAGTCGTACGACCCGGGCGCCAGCCAGTCCTGGACCAGGAATTCCTCGTTGTTCCCGCAAAGAATAGCCAAGGACGCCCGATTGCGCATCTTGATCGTTTGGATCTCCACTTCCTTCTGGACGTTGTCCAGGTATTCATGGTGCACTGGGTAGTCACCGTCGGAAAAGGCAAAGTCGTACCAGACCAAGATACCCATCTCATCACAGGCATCCCAGAAGGCATCGGGCTCGTAGATCCCGCCACCCCAGACCCGGAGCATGTTGAGGTGGTTGTACTGTGCCAATTGGATCCAGTTGAAGTATCGCTCACGCGAGATGCTGGGCAGGAGCATGTCCGCCGGGATCCAGTTGGCACCCTGGCAGAAGATGTCTCGGCCGTTCACATTGAACATGAATGTCTTTCCGGGAATGTCTTTGTCTAGTGGTCGCTGAATGACTTGCACAGTACGAATGCCAAACCGGGTGTCCGTCTTGTCCAAGACAACCTCTGCATCGTCCAGGAGAGTCACTGACGCAATGTGAAGGTAGGCCTCCCCTTGCCCATTGGGCCACCAAAGCTTCGGCTGGGAGATATTCACGGTTTTGGCGCCTGTTTTTGTCGACGGGTCGATCTCGATCTCGACAGTGGGATGAACCTCAGTTCCCGTTTGGCCGAGAATCTGGACTTCGGCGGTCTTACTCGCGGCTCCACTGGCCTTGACTGTAACTGTGACCGTCGCTGTCGAATGGTCTTCTGAGATGTCGGTCACAGCCACATGCACATCATCGACACGAGTTGTATAGACATCAAGAAAGACAGGCAAGTAAGGTCCAGCAGCTAAGATGATCGGACCCCAATCCCAACCAAAGTGGTACTATGAGCAACATGGTCAGGCTCAACAGTTGATTACTCATCACAGGTACACACTCACTTGAGCTTTCCGGATATGCATTCTCTTGGTGTCTCGAATGAGCTTCTTTCTCTTACCGTACTGAGCCTCGAGCTCCAATCCCTTTTTGTTTGTGCTCTCAAAAAGAATCACCAGCTCATTCGCCGGACCGTCTTCAGGATTCAGGACAGACTTCACGTCGACTCGCTGTGGAATAAACATATTGTTCGACTTGAGGATTTCTTGGCCATTCAACGTGAGCGTGGCAAAAGTGTCGAGGCCTTCCAGGACCAGGTCGCAGGTTCCAGCTTTTTGGATTCCTGCTGGCGTTTTGAAGGAGCAGGCATACTCCCAATCGGCGTATCCGACCCATTGAATCAAACGCTCGTTCTCGCCAACGTTGAAGTCAGGGATGATCCGCTTGGCCATCAGTTCCATCTGGATTACCGACGGAAACGTGGTTGTTTGTGTCCACACGCCGAGCTGCTTGGAGAGTGATTCGGCTTTGGCCTGGCCATTGGCATTGGCCATACGCCATTTCCAGCCGGAGGCCAGATCGTGCTTCTGTCGTGTAGCCATTCTCTGTCAGTTTTCCGGACGAGTTGATATACGAGAGGATAGTCTGGGGAGAGGAAGGGGTGCAATTAAATGCAACATAAAAGAGAGGGACTGTTCTTGAATTGTTCCCCCTCATTGACGTTGCCTTTGTTTAGAGGTTGCTAAACCATGGGCCCCCACATTTCGTCTCACCAGCGTGCGTACTTTAGGTCACTCCAGCTGGGCACGGAAATACAAACATCCTGGTGGTGGCTATGTGCCATGTGGTATGTGCAAGGATGAGACCAGATGAAGGATGTGGAGTGAGCACCCGTGGGAGGAATTTGATCCAGGTAATTAGCCGTCCATGATCATGCGACACAATAGTGACTTTTATGCTCAATCGGATTCCATCACTCCCGGGCTTTTCGTGCAATCTCACTCGAGGTACTCATAACTGTCCGGTGTCCGGAACGCAGAGATGCCAAGTATTCGTGCCAGTAAGAGAGAATGGACAAATACGTGAGGACAATAGAATTGTCACTCTTCATTGTTCAAGACAGGGAGGAGCGGACCCGTGCCTGCCCCGGACGCTCCAGACGAGATGACATTGGTCCGCAAAAGGCCTAAGCCGCCTCAGGTGCGTCTGGGACGATCGGGACACACCCGATGACCAGGCCAAAGGTGGATCTCGGAAATACATATTTGCGTCGAATCGACGGGAGGCCCAATCATTCGGGTCGCGCAAAACCTGGGCGTGGCCAGAGTGTGGAGATCAAAGACTCTAGGTCATTGGAAAGCCTCGAGCCTCGCGACCCTGGTCGGAAGTACAAATTGCCGTGGTCTGTGCACCCCCAGATGTCGCTTGCGCTCCTGGAGGTATCACCGGGACGAAAAAACCCTTGAAGACCACTGCTGATGGTGCTGTACATACAAGTCCTTCTGTATGTACATGACTACGAGCACACATAGGTCTCTCCGTAGACGCACAACGGCTTAGCTTAGTCAATGTCATTCAACATCACGAGATCCAACCTGACTTCGGCTGCCACTGCCAATCGCCGCTTGCGATCCTGACCATTTCTTCGTGCATGCATAGGACCAGATGGGGGCGTAGGTGGCCGAGATGTCCTAAGTCCGAAGCCATAGCATCCACCTCGAGGTCCAAAGGCGCGGGAGCCAACAAATCAGAAGTCCGATCGAGCGCCCCCAGAGGATGACTCCTTGATTTCAGCGGAGCCCCATATTTCAATCCCCAAGGTTGCTGTAAGGCTAGGCTCGTCGAAGTTCGAAAGAACAGTGCTAGGCGAGTCGTCTGTCGCTAGCCGGTGGCAAGAAGTGCCCAGAATCAGGGGCTTTCAACCATCAACAAAAAAGTCTGTAAGAGCGCGGACTCGACTCACGGGGCCCCGACATGCCAACGACAATCGCTTCCTTCCGATATTTAAAACCTCCATGCTCCAGATTCCTCCGGATTGTCCAACCTCTCTTGGCCGAACCTCTTATCAATCTTGGGCTCATATCTTCCTGATCTGGTACCCCCCTTCCCGGCTGTACAAACCCTGGCCATACCACACTTTTGGCCGTGGCCTCTACTACAAAACTTCGTTTCCCCTTCAACTTCCCCCCTGCTACACCATGGACAACAACGACACAGTCGACGAACCCAAGAGCTTGGCCAAGGACACCGCCACTGCTGTCCATGAAGGGGTCAAAGCGGACCGACACATCCACATCAAGGAGGATGAGAAGATCCCAATCCTTCAGAGCGCCCGCTCCAATCCAACTGCCATAGGCTGGTGCTGTTATATGCTCTTCACATGCATCATGTACGGCTATGACGGTATGGCTGGTGCGATTGTGCTTTCCATCCCTCGCTGGCGTCAAGATTATGGCTATTTGTACGAGGGCCAGTGGGTGGTTTCCGCTGCCTGGCAGGTCGGCTTCACGGCCGGAACGCTCCTTGCCACCGTCCTGGGAGGCATCATGACCGGTGTGGCAGTTAAATATACGGGCCACCGGGTTATTGTCGGCTTGGCCTATATATTCACTATTACTGGTGTGTTCCTTCAATGGTATTCGCCCGGAAGACTAGGCCTGTTCTTAGGTGGCAAGATCTTGACCGGAATCCCTCTGGGAGTCTTTGTCACGGTGGCACCGGTCTATTGCTCCGAGGTCGCCCCCCCAAGCCTGCGTGGGATCATGATCGCCGCCGTCAACTGGAGTCAGGTCATCGGCCAACTTCTCGGGTACGGCGTGATGCGCGAGACTCAGGCTATCGATAGTGCCATGTCCTACCGGATCATGTACGCCGTGCAATGGGGTTTTGCTGGTGTCGGCTTGGCCTTGTTATACTTTGTGCCCGAGTCACCGATCCGGTTGATGGCTCGTAACAAAGTCGACGCCGCGCGCAAGAGCGTCGCCAGACTTTACCCCTATCTCGAAATTGAAGCTAAGATCCAGGAAATTCGGGCTATGCTCGACCGGGATGCCGAACTATCCGCAGAGGCGGGCAGCTTCAAGGACTGCTTCAATCGTGACAACCGCCTGCGCACCCTCATCGCCATGTCTGTCTATGTCATTCAGGCCAATTCCGGCTGCTCTTGGGTCCTCGGCTACATGGGCTATTTCTTTCAGCTGGCTGGCATGCAAGGTCAGACTGTCTTCGACGTCACCGTCGGCATCGCCGGTGTCATGGCCATTGGCAACATGTTCAGTTGGTACTTGATCGAAAAGATGGGCCGGCGGAGCACCATCTTTTATGGCATGGTTCTTTGCACAAGCTCACTCTTGATCATCGGTGTTCTAGGCTCTGCATCAACCCGATCCTCTATCGTCTTCGGACAGGCAGCCTTAATGGCCGTCTGGGCTTTTGCCTACCAAGCATCCATTGGGGCTGTCGGCTACGCCCTGATGGCAGAAGTGCCCACGTCGTCGCTGCGTGGCCCAACCGCGTCGTTGGCCACCTGCACGAGCGGCACTATGTTTGGTGGCTGGGCCCTTGCCCTGCCTTACATGATCAACCCGGACGAAGGAAACTTGGGCTCTAGAGTGGCTTTCATTTTCTTTGCCGTTTCCGTCCCTGCCATCGTTTTCATCTTCTTCTACTACCCGGAGACCAAGGTGAGCAAACTCCCCTCCCAATTTAATACTCAACCTTTCCTTCAGGAATGCAAGAATACTTTTGCTGACACATAGCTTGTGTTTCCACCGCTACAGGGCCGTTCATTTGAGGAAATCGACGAGCTGTTCTACCGCCGCATCAGCCCTAGAAAATTTGCACAAACAGACCTGAGGGCACACGACGAGTAAATTCAAAAGTGGGAATCCTAGAACTGTCGTATATATATGTCCACCGTCTAAACAAGGTGCCTCTGCACGAAGATTACATCTCGATCCTATATATGGGAGGATAAGACTCTGGATGTCTGCAGTTTTAGCGCAAGTGGAAGCATGCGGTTCTAGCACAAATCAGTTTAATTCCTTTTCCTAGGTCGACCTTATAGGCAAAATCGCGTGGTGAGCTGGGCATTGGGGTCTATCAGCGTCAGAAGAAAACCCAATGAACACCGAGAAGCTGGGTTTCTAAATTCATCTGATAGGAACCTCACACCGCCCAGACAAAGTAATAATACAACCCACCTCTTCTTATGCTGCTTCCAGATTAATAGATCAGTCAGGCAGAGGATATGGTGGATATGGGGCCAATATGTCATCTCCAAAGGTGAAATCAAAGTCGATCCAGTCCAAGAAAGGGTCAAAATCGGCCAGGTCGCGTTGGTCCAGCATATCCCAGGCTTGTGGCAGTGTCATGGGCTGAACCGTAGCTAGCGAGGGCGATTGCTTGAACTCGTGCATTAGCTGGGTGGCCGCAGGGTTCTGATCATTGGTAGTCGTCATGATTCCGTCATATAGAGCTTGAATTACTTCTCCATAGCGGTCCACAGTCCGTCGATAAGGTTCCATGTCCTTGAACGTAAGTAATGCCCGGTCTAGAGATTGCTCCCAATCTCTGACTGCGTCGTCACTGAAGCGACCATCACGCCGTGCAAGGACGATCGACAGCAACGGGATTAAGCAAGCCATGAAAAGAGTAAATGCCGCCACCCACGCGATCACAATGTCCTTGTTCGAGCCGGAGCAGATCTCATCGATCAGTCTGACGGCTGTGGCTTGATATGTAGACACGATGCGCCAGTCGTCGTCGCCGAACGATTCGTAGGCTGTCGGATCCCGAGCCAGGCGGACCAGATACGTTCGACCGATGAATAGTCGGGCAAGATTGGCCAGACGGCACCAGGACTCCTGCGCAATCTTGACTCGTTTGGGACACCATCGATTCAATCGAAATTGGTCTTCAGATGCCTTCACCCATGCCTGGAGCTGCGTGTCGAGAGCCACCATCTCGTCTGTCGTCATCTTCCCGGGCCGTGCCAGGCGGTCACTCAATTGGTTCGAGATATAACTGACCCGAACTTTGTAATAAAGTGAACGCCCTTCCCATTCGTCTGGAGTGAGGCCAGGGTCTGCGTCGTTGTCCCTGACACCCGACCTGAGCATCTCTGTGGAGGCGTGGCTGTTTGAATTGCCTGTCAATGTCGGAGACAGGGGGTCCCATGTGTTGAATTGTGGGCGCATCAACAAAAGCCCAGATCGGCCATCTACGCAGTAAAGACACCACCAGATCCTTCTTCGTTGTTCAGCACGGGACCACATTCGCGGAGCGTCCGAAGCCCGTTTGCTCTCGGATCTGGCGTGTGTAGGGAATTCCTGCTGGAGTTTCATGGCGATCGCCATCCGGAAAGCCGTGCCGAGGACCAGATAAGCCGTGTTAGGAGAATTGATGTAGTATAAGTACAATCCACCGAGAAGGATCAACGCTTGGAGCATGTCCAGGTTTCCAGACCGGAAGGTGTTGAACCCAATCACTGCCCGTGCTCTGTTGAAGTAAATTGTATGTGAATCTCCATTGCCTGCCGTAATCGAGCCGACCGCAATGACCATGTTTGACAAAGCCTGCCACGATTCATCTGTTCGAGTCTGGGTCGAGAACTGATGTCGGAACCAGGTTTCGTCGATCATGGGAATGAAGGAGTGCAAGGTTTCAAAGTAGCCGTCGATGGCTGCTTGTTCGAATTCGGGCCCGATCAGGGCCTTCAAGTCAGGTGCAGCTGAAGAGTTCCCCGCTTCCTGTTGCAGAGTTGTGTGCGAATGATGGGAAGGTTGACGTGGAAATGAACCAACAATCCGAAGGAATTTTTGATGCGCTGGCGGACATTCTCTAAAAATGGCGCTCAAAACGGCGCCCGTGGAGGCTGAGTCGAGCGGTGTGTGAGAGTGTCGATCAACATCGAGTCCATTCACGTCGTCTCCGAGGGGAGCACTGGTACCCTGCTCCACTGACGCCTCGTCCCACTCATGCTCGAATTCGTCGTCGGGGAGTTCTTCGTAGTTCCCATGTACTCCAGATGAAACACTGTCTGCCAGCGACGTGGAACCCAGATTCTGCTCATTGCCAATGACTCGAAGGACTTGATCTTTGGACAGGCCTGGGCACCGATCGAAATCAACAGCGGGTAATAACTGCTTCAAGAGGTCGGTGCGGAGTCTTAGTGTTTCATCCTGTTGTGAGATTGTCCTATCGCATTCGTGATTGTGGTTAGAATCGGACGAGGAGGCCTAGAACCAAAAAGGAATACACAGCACCCACTTCCAGGATGGATTTGTTCTGCGACTCCGTTTCCGATAAACACACCGATGTTGGGTGCACGCAGTCTGGCAATTTTTGCAGGGAAAAGTCCCGTCACAGCGAATCTTACGTCGCGTGCACTCGAGACACGCTCGGTTGAGCTTTTGAGGCCTCTTGGGTTTCGTGGATGATATAACCGATTCACTGCTCGGACTGAAGGGGGACGCCGACGCCTGCATGGTGGAGTGCAGTCCAAAAGATAAACACTTTCATGCGCAACGATTTAGCATCACACGACAGATATCTCATCTCTCCGCCTGTGTTTGATGATTTTGTGTCACATCCATGGACTCAAGACGGAAATGGGGAAGGAGTGAGTTTTGTCGCCGCATCTGGTGGGGAAGAAATGCAGCCTCGGGAGTTGAAGTCACGTGTCAGTGTCACGTGCAGACCAGGGCAGACTTCTCCGAGGGTTGCCTCGGGTCTCCCGAGTCCCATGCTAGGTGAGGAGAGATCTTCAATTATAGGAAGGGTTACTAGCTATAGTACTTAGAAAGACAGTAGTTTAGATATATATAACTAAAGAATCTCTTCCTTTCTATAGGTTTTGTAGAGACTTGTAGTTCTAAAGAGCTTTAAGTAATACCCCTAAAGGGTAATCGTTTTATGTGCGTCTCCCTTATGCGGTCTTGGCCACTTAGTGCTAGGGTTTTGGTAGGCGCCGTGACACGGCTTCCTATATTATAGCTCTCTAACACTACCAGTCTACCACCCAGTTTTCCCTGTGAAAGGTACACTTGATAGCCAAGATATGTCAGTCGCATCACCTATCAAAAACTCGCCGTCCCCCATCGCTGTTAATTCACCCTGGAGCCCGGCTGTCCAGTCAACCTGTTCAGATGCCTTGAACGCGGATTTATCGTAACTAGTATTAGGAGCGATGACCTTTTCCCCACGGCACTTGGCCAGGACTTCAAGTGCATACCGTCGCAGCTAGATGAGATAAAACTCGAGACCTTATCACAGCCAACTAGACATGTACTTACAGTTTTCCACAACCTAAGCGCACGGAATCCATCCCCAACCTGTCTTGGAAGATATTTGCCGAACGTTTGCAGCCCAGGAGCAAGTTCTAACTGAGAGTCTCGCTTAGCACAAAAGTCTATGCTTGCAGGGTCAGAGACTTACGAAGATAACTAAAGGTTTTACCAGTCTGAAATATTCCCAGACGTGATGTGGGAAACCGCGTTTCACCGACTCCGGATCCTCGCCGAATAGCAAGTGATCTAAGTAGAGAACGACCATTAGTATCATGAAAACAGTGCAATTGCAGCTTCCATAGCAACTAACAAAAAATATCAAAACCAACCAATGTGCCCAAGGGTATACATCGAAGGGCGTCTTCTGTTTGCTGATCTGTGACCAGTTCCCAAGCATATTGGCAATCTTAGCATCGATACAGGGCTCGAATTCCAACATCGCCGATTGTGAAAAGCCTCGGTTAACCAGCTTGCGACGCTGTTTGTGTGTCTCTACGCCCCAGGCCATATTAGGCGGCGGGACAGTCGATGTCAGCTATTGCCCTGGTCACTTCCGTTCGAATGCTCATGAAACAAACCGATTTGTCAAAAGATTATCTTCGCTGACTATTTTCTTCGATTTCTGAAAGACGTGTCAACGAGGCTATTTCATGGCCTTGAGACCACTCACATAAAGACCCTCATCTTTGGCGAAGACTTCCTGGTTGTTATAAATCTCTTTATAGGCTCGGGGGCTGGCAAATAAGAGCTCGTTGGGTCCAACTCTCACAACAGGACCTAAGACGAAGCTTTATTAGTTGTGGACAACGGCATACCATACATATATTAGACGTTCAACTAACCATACTGAGTGTGCGCGGCGTGGATGATCTCTGATTTACGTCCATAGAAATTGCCCCGTTTCGTCTAGAGCTGTGACAATCTGGCAAGTCGGGGGCCCGGGAACTTGCGCAGCGGGTGGAAGAAGAGGTTGTAAAATCCGACTACTAGGCAGTACGCCAGTAGCACAAGCATGGAGGCATAGAGGACGGTGTGTTGTTTCACACTTGAAACCGGGCTTATTAGTTCAGAGTGCTGTTTTCCGCCGAAAGCCATGTTCAAATGAAATAAAACCATGGCCACTGTTGTGTAAGTGACGCCCGTTTATCGGCGGAGCTCAAACTTCATCAAGGTCCAGACGAGGTGGAGGCGGGGCCGCAACCGCATCCGCACCCGCAGGTCGGACAGAGAGCCGCATCCCCCCAAGGAAACCCCCTTTGCCGACCAGGACTCCCCAGACCCCAGACGTTGGGACATACTCCGCGATTGTTGCTGTCCTGATCTTCACATGAGATCCAGAACTTTACTCTCGAGATTACTTCTCATGTTGCACCGGAAACAAAGCCAACATGTCAGACACCGAGATGAAGAGGACATCGGTGACGGCGAAGAAAACCAGTACCGAACATGTCGACTACCCTTCTAGTGAGCATCAAGCTGTCGAGCAGCCGAAACTTACTTGGAGAATGATATTCTTGGGCATATATGTCGGCATGGCTGGTTGGATGTACAACTTTGATCTTGGTATGTTCTGAGGAATGTACCTTGGGGGTAGTACTGATCGAAAAGTAGGTTATAGTGGCGTTGTGCTACTAATGAATCCTTTCAAGCAAGCCTTTGGGTCATATGGCCCAATTCTCACGTCAAATGGAGAAATTGTCAACGGATATAGTCTTACCGACCTACAACAGTCCTTGGTCTCAATTACGGTACTGTTCATCGGTCTCGGCTCTGCGCTTGCAAGCGTCTTTGGTCAATATACAGGACGACGAGGTACTATTCAGGCGGCAGGCGGCCTGCATAATTATCGCCGCTGGCGCTGGTGGTATGTTGGGGACTGCTGGAAACTACACAAATTATATGGCATGCAAGTGCATTCAAGGAGTAGGACTTGGGATGCTTCTCGCAGCCAGTCCTTTATGGGGTGTTGAGGTTTTGCTGCCACGAATTAGGGGCATCTTCCTCGGATTTTTCGCCTGGGGTTTGGCAGTTGGTCAGCTCACAGCAAACGGTGTTTGTATGGCTACTGCAAAGTATACGACATACCTCGCGTGGCAAACACCGATCATCTGTCATATTCCCCTCGCCATTACCTATGGGGTCCTAACATTCGCATTCCCTGAGTCTCCTAGGTGGCTACTTACCAAGGGCCGCGACGATGCAGCCCGCAAGTCTTTTGCCATATACTACGGAAAACCAGTCGACGATCCTGTGGTCTCTTATCAGCTTAATGAAGTTGTGCGCCATCTTGAGCTTGAGAGGAGAACAGATTCAGCAAGATTTTGGGACATTCTTCGAGGTGTTAATGCTAGGAGGACTCTGGCCTCTGCGATCATCGCCCTAGGTATCGCCGCGTCAGGCTCTCGATTCATTACTACCTACGCAGTCATCTTTTTTGCTGGCATCGGCCTAGGAAATCCTTACCTGATCAACGTCCTCCTAGCGGCGTCGGCAAGTGGTGGTGTTATCTTGGTTCCGTGGCTGGTCGAATATAAAGGACGATGCTTCGTTCTTCTCTTCGGCTATGGCCTCCTTGGTACCTACATGTTAATAATTGGAGCTGTTGGATCCGGTTTTGGGCAAAGCAACAACACAGCACAGCTTATACTGATCGTTTTCCCTTGTTTGTGGAATTTCACCTACGGTCTAATTCTTAGGACGAGGTTGTCCACCGGCTCAGCAGAGCAACACTCTCTGAGGCTACGAACCTACGGTCAGGCATTTGTCATTGCTTTATACGAAGTTGTAGCATTTGTGGTCTCCTTCAGCATCCCTTATATGATCAGTCCAAACTACGGAAATATGGGATTAAATGTTGGTTACTTTTTCGCAGGTAAGTCATATAGCTCCGTTCCTTACGTGCATGTTCACAGACTAAAATGAAACTTGACTCGAGGACTTTCTGCTCTAATCTGGGTTGGCTCTGTTTTCTTCGTTCCAGAAACTGGCCAAATCAGCCTAGAGCAGATTGACGACCTCTATATGAGCGGGACATCGCCGTGGAAAACGTCTCTCAAAAAGAATAAGAAAATAGCACTGGAGTCGGGCCACTTATTAATGTAGCAAATGTGATTAGAGGATCGACCAGAGACAGGAGTAGACCCCCTACTTTACCTCATGCAGAACTCGTGCGAGAAGCTGGGCGATATGCACCTTGTGCAAGGAAAGGACGCGCTCTCCTCTAGCAATCTGAGCAAGAGCAGCAGTTGAGGACGTGACTACTCCATTCACAATCACAGAGCCACACCACAAGACCAATGTGGCATAGTACACCGCATATGGAACGTGTGGTGCTTCGTATGGTAGCCTCCGCTGCTCCGGGTTAGATGAAGCGTGATGTGAATGGTGATATCCATGCTCAGTCCTTGAACTGGGCACTGAAAATGCTCCTTCAATGGATGCAATCATGTTTTCCGCGTGCCAGCATGATATCTTGAAGTTCCTGTCCTGTGCCCACGCGACAATCTCCTTCGCAATCGAACTTTTCTTTGGGTCTCGCACTGCTGAACCTGGAGACGAGTGGGCAAAACTTTGCAGGACTGTCAAATTGGCATGAAGCATAATGTTCATCATGTGGTAGACAGTGAGATGAGTTGGCTCCTGTGCTTGTCCGACCGTCCGAAGCCAGTTGTCGCAAGCCAACTCGACATAGCTAGGGTTCCATAGCGACAAGCTTTCTATCAAAACTTTATCTGCCCCATATCTATTCTGTCGTGAATAAATCGCTGGCCAAAGATGAGTACTCAAAGAAGCTAAACTGGCCAAACCAAAGGTGTTAGAGGTCTGTAATACGGAGTTGTGGTTTCCGTCATTAAGCTCCGCAATTAGTGCTGATAAATGAGAGACCGGGGTATCAAGCAGTGATTGCTGAACAAAAATATCGGCGCGTTGCCAAGATGAGGATGCAGGGCGCTGCATGATGATGACGCGGTAACAGTCCAAGATGTAAAGCGCTTCAAGTAGCCTGAACAACACAGTCAATAGAGGCTCTGGGAGGATGACACGAACATGGCTTACTGGACATAGCTGTTGTTTCTATCGTCAGTCGCTCCAAGACCTTGTGAGGCTTGACTGAATTCTTGGACTGACTAGATGAATGTGTCAGCGCACGTCGACTGTAAAGGACCCTGCCTCATACATGGATGAGATTCCCATGGAAAGCTTCGACGAACTCATAGCTTCTCTTGTCCCCGCTACACAGACCATAAAGCTCCAAAAGAATGAACTTCGTATTGTCAGCCTGTGAGCAAAACATCAGTCTTTGAGGGTGGAGTACGGTCTTTACTACCACAAGCTTCTCTTCATTGCCGATGGTGACTTCATCCTGGTCATTTCTGATATTAAACTGTTCGGTGTTAACCATGCTCTGAAGAACCGAGGGATACATACATGTGCAAGAAGCAGCCTTCGCGCATCGTTGTACAGTGACTTGGCCACTTGAGCGCTGCCGGGGACGGTGCAAAAAAGACCCCCCATGGCAGCCATGGCCAGAATGTATGCTGCACGATTCTGTCGTCCAGAAGTGTTATCCTTGAAAAGTGAAAATGTCTCAGGAATATGCCGGCGGAATATGCCAAGAAAGACTCGAAGGACGTCTTTATTGTGGTCAACCAGATTTGGTGGGGTGGAATACCACATTCTGCTGGCCTTGTTTAAAGAAGGGGAGGGCGCTCGAGATTTTCGATCAAAGTATTCTTGCATGGACGCTGTGAGATCTTGCATGGACGATGACAAGATATGATCGTGAAGGGGTGAATTTGAGTCAAATAGCCCGGCACTCCATGCCAATTCTGAGCCATCGAACCAGAATTGGCTATTCTAAGTGAAAATTATTAAATGATTTGGTGCTACCCAACCTGGAAGACATACCATGACTGGGGTTTGCCAGAATTCACCGAGAATGTCATTTTCTGGGAGATTGAAGAAGGCATTTTCACCAGAGAGTGGCATATTCAAGGAGGTCAGATCTGGCATATGAATATCCGTTGAGACTTGTGCTGCTGAATCATCGGGAGCCACGCCTTGAAAGTTAAGCTCTGGGAAAGGCATGGGCAGGATTATGTTGCCGCCATTCGCAACTTCCAAACTGGAATCTAAAGTTGAAGCCTTGTCAATATTTGAGCTGGTCATGTCAAGAGTCGCCGACGGCGAACCGCGTGTGTCACCTATTGGCATGTGGACATTTTGCAAGACTGGATCGATGTCTCCCAGGATGGAGATGCCTTGACGTGATCCCTGACTTGAGGGAGCCCGTGTCTCGCTGGAACAACTGTAATGACAGACAGAACCTGCTGCTTGACAAGATGCGCAGGTTGGACTTCCGTCACAGCGCATTTTGCGTTTTCGACAGTTGTCGCAGGCGATGCGGACACGTCTTCGCGTGCCACCTTCGGTTGTAGTATCGCCATTGCTTTGATCCACTGGGGCCGCAGGACATTTCTTCACGTGCACTGCCTTGATATCTGATCTCTGAAAGGATCTACGGCAATATGGGCACGTGAATGGCTTTTCTTTAGTGTCTAGGGTAGGGTTAGCAGAAGGAAGATGAGAACAGTAAAGATCATATATACGTGTCCGCCGATGCCTGATCAGGTGTTCCGAGCGAGCAAAACAACGAGAGCAGATATCACACTATTTTCAGCATTAGTGAGTTGGACTAGTAAAGTGCCCATATACACGCATGGCAGGTTCGCGTCATCTTGCCAGCCTGGGGCAATAGACGTACCTTCTTTTCTTGCCGGGTTACTTGTGTTATGTTGAGGCTGGCCATCACATGGCTTCAAGGATAGCTGGCGGAGGCGAGGGTTCGGGGTTTCGATGTGGAGGGTCGAAGAGACCTGGGGAGCCGATCTCTGGGGGTTGGCGGAAATACACATTCGCAAAAGCTGGAGAAGACCATCACGTAGATTGAAATGGGAGAATCTGCCAAGACTCCAAAGGCCGAGGTTCCCGATAGAATCGGTACCCCATGATGTGATGGAGGGGTCCGGGCCTGGTGCGCTTGTGTTGGGCCCATGAGTTGGTTGGTGTCTGTGGTGCGTGGCGTCTTTGGTGCCAAACGGCAAAATTGATTCTGATGGACCCAGACACTGACTTCGTGGAGTTCCATGCCCGGACTATCTATGGAGAAGACCAGGCTTCACCATGAGTCTCAAAACATATTCAACGTTTGAATCACAGCATGATCGTGCTCTTGACACATGTGACTTTGACCCGTCCATGACCCTCTCAACCTCCCGCCAGTGGCCTGGCGAAAGACATCCGACCAGGTGGGATGTACATGATGCCAATGAGAGCCCTGCAGCGACGTTTTTGGACCAATTTCGAGCCGCACTCTTGCACAGCGAAGGCGCAGAGCACGACGTTCTACTCGATGATGATCCTGAGATAGGAGCCTCTCAGCAGGCTGATTCGGTACCTAAACACCCCAAGCTGGCCTATAGGATCGTGTTGACAGAGCCTCAAAGCACGATGTCTTCAAGTACACATATCCGATGGTGTTACTTTCTGAAGTTCCCCCAACCCCGACTGACCAGGAGTTGGCACATTTTCAGACCTTGTTCTCGACCACTTTCAAAAAACACTTCTTCTTGGACTTTATGGACAATGTGCCGACTTCTTCCAGCCCGACGCCTCCGTATCTCGACTTCGCATCCGCGTGCCTGGGATCAATTACTTCCTCACCAACAGCATCACATTCGAGTGCCGCTTCAAACGACTCATCCAGACAGGACGTCTCAGCAGCCTTATTTATCGCTGGTGTGAACCTGTGGTCTGTCATGCTTGAAGTTGATAATCGCGAGGCCCGCCAGCTTGAAGCAGTCATTGCGGTATGCATCCGGCAGAGCAACAAGTGAATGTACTGACTTGTGACTTGTTTCCATTCAGGCTTCCTTGCTATCTACTTACGGACTGTTGTCCGCGGATAAAGTCCACTGGAGAAAGGCTTCAGGTATTCTGTCTAATGTTGTGACGGTGAGAATTCTCGTGGTGTTATTGAAAGAATGCTGAAACCTTTGATAGATCTCCAGGCGGCTCCATCTAACTGATGGACACTCTCCTCTCTACCATGCTAGCAACGTTGCGGACAAGGACTTCATGATGAAAAGGTGTAAAACGAACCCGACTATTGTTTGGAATGCCATATTGACTCACTGAGAACAGTTCGCTCATCAGTTACATGATACTTGTTGACACCCTTCACGCGGCATATTTTGGGCTTGCACCCAACCTTTCCACCAGCGAGTTGTTTATACGCATGCCATGGTCCAACCATCAGTTTCGGACCGTCTACAACTGCCTCGTCCATGGCCATGAAACCCCTTCAGATATGCGACGGCCAGAAGATGCACTTCTGCTGCTGACGGCGATTCTCAATGACACCATCCATGTCAATTGTAGCTTTCTGTCACTCCAATTTCCTGATGTGACTTCTGGCCAGAACATAAACGGTCATATTCAGGAATCCATCAACCCCTCTCCTAATCGACACGTCCTGACCAGTAACAAGAAGCTCAGAAATCCTTGGGCGCCCCTAACTGCAGGGTCAGAGTTCTGTCGCTTAAGGGTTGACCTGCTTGCAGCATTGTCGAGATGGGAAGACCATTTTCAGGATCACATTGGCAGCGACATTCTAGCCCTCGGCTACTTCACTCGTTTACAGCTCCATTGCCCCGAAATGTGGGAGCTCCCGTACGTCGCCGGGTACGGGAGAACTGCAGCTACGACTAGAGGGCCAACAAGACCAGCAACCAAGATCGAAGTACCTGACAAAGCCATGGACTTATCTTGGCAGGTATTATATCATTGCGATAAGGCGTCCAAGAGCTCAATCGGCGCAATGGCAATATGGCTACCAATTGTTGTGTTTCTGTCGGCATTAGTGGTATGGCAGAAACTCCGGAGCCAACGTCCAGGGGACATCAGGTATGGCACTCTGAAAGTCCTGACCATGTTTCAGAATGAGCTCGCGAAACTACCGTGGGCATGTTGTTCGGAGATGATCAAGCTTCTGGACCGGCTCATGAATCAAGAGCAATCGGCCGACGCTCGAGATGATCAATAAAGAATCATTACATGGTAGTTTACTGTGATGTCGATGTATGCAACCTCACCAGCACGGCCGAGTCTCTCCAGCTGATTAAGTCACGCCGATGATGGGGTTCCGGACAAGGACACTATTTCGCATTGGCTACCCCATCGCTTCCGGCATCACCAAGCATGCCTTCAGCCCTCATGAGTGGATGGGTGGTTGGGCAACCTTATGAAAGATGATGATTCATTCCGATAATGATGATTGGGCTGTTCTCTTTACCCTCCTGCGCAGCAGGATGGCGAGGAAGATAACACTCAAGGAGCGTCACGACATCCCTCCGATTACACACAGGTGCCGACCACTAACACGTGACCATTGCTCCTAAGAAGGTAGCAAATACCACCCCCCGGATGGAAATTATTTTGAGGATATCGACAAAGGCCGCCATTGACAGAAATCATAGGGTACTTGTGGCTATGGAATGTTTAACAGACGCATCTAGCATATTCAGCACGAGTTCAGATCCCCAAACCGCTCCCGAGCTTCGAAAGGCCACGAACAAGAACGCCATGATCCTAGTTCTCTCATCTATAAATCCTATCATCAAATTTGCCAAACTGATCCCGCCCCAGGGCTTTGCTGTTCACGAATATACTGACACTACAGCTACCCACACTGAACACACCAAATCCATCGTCTCCGATCTGCACCTCTCGATCCTGCCAACCCAGGACATCCGTCCAGACTTCTCCCTTGTGCACCTCGCCCACAAACATGCGGATCTCTCCCATTTCTGCGTTACTGAGCACAACAGCACACCCGTCAGGTCGATCCCAGGTCCCTCGTCTCACCCATCCGATCAAGTTCGGCTGGTCCCAGTAGTCGTTCAGTTCACCATATGAGTACAACTTGCGCGCCAGAGTCATGTCTGGGATCTTTCCCCCAGCAGCGGGCCCTCGCCAGTCATTCTCCACGCCCCCTTTGATACCATACACGTCTCCGTAGAACAGACATGGATATCCATCAACTCTGAGCAGGATAAAAGCATATGCCAGCGGAATGAACCATCCCGTGACCTCAAGCTGCAACGCTTGGCTAGGCTGCGTGTCGTGATTTTGTACCAAGGTGACGGAATTGTAAGGTTCAGCTTGAGTCAGACTGTTGTCGAACACTTGCCGCAAGTCTGCCCTTTCTCCTGTTGAGATACGGTGAAAATTCTCAACCAGGGGGGCGTCGAAAAGGTTGAACTTATGATTCATTTTCGATAGGTAGCCCTGCAAAGACGGGGTTGACGTCTTCCAAAATTCCCCCACTAAGAATGAGTCGTGTCCGACATTGGCGTCAAGGTTATTGATGAAGTCGTGGAGGAATGCCTCCGAATAGTGCTTGACCGCATCGAACCGGAACCCGTTGAGGTTCAATTCCTTGGACACCCACACACCCCAGTTCTTGACGTCTTCTTGCACCTCAGGGTGCGCGTAGTCGAGATCGGCAAACATCAGATAGTCTAAGTGACACAAGTGACGTAGGTGAGATGAAGCCCACATTATTCACGGTGCAAGAGGTCCACGTACCATAATTGCCCTTTTCCGTATCCACATCACCTGCAAATTGTTTGTTCTCCCCTAGAATCTTATAGATCCCAGTCTCCTTCGACTTGTTGTCATAGTCGGTCCCAGAGAAATGATACCAGTGATATTTCTGCTTGCTGTACCTGTCGCCTCTCTGCGCAAAATCAAAGCCGAGCCAGCCTTCGATCTCGAAAACGTCCGAGATTTCCCTGTTGCGATCTAGCAAGGTCAGTCGACGATCACTACGGCCACGGACAAACCCACCGTTGGGGTCTACTTTGACCACCCGACAAGTCTCAACATGATCCGCCGCAGCCTTGTGATTGAGCACCGCATCGAAATAGATCCCCAGGCCAAGACTATCCGCCTTCTTGCAGGCCACGAGTAGTTCCTTTTTGGTGCCCCATTTGGTGCCCAAAGACCCTTTGGTATCGAACTCGCCCAGGTCGTACAAATCGTAGATATCATATCCATTTCCACTAGGTGACGACGCCTTGCACGCCGGCGGAATCCAGATGTTGTCTATCCCGGTGGCTTTGAGATGAGGCAGGGCACGATCCAACCGCTGCCAATGTTTGTGGTCGTCGGGGACGTACCACTCAAAGAATTGGATCATCGTGAAATTCTCGGCGGTAGGTTCTCGATCGCCCTTTCCAGTTAGTGATGCCGCCCCTAATTTTGCAAAAGAGTCAGCCCACAGCAGCTTATCTCATCTAACCCTCATTTTATACCATTCTAGCTAAAGGTCCATTCCTTGAATGCAATGGAGATGGGTCGGGTTTGATTACCTGGGAATTGCTGCCATTGTCGCTCTTTCCCAAATCGCCCTCTTAACCGCCGGAAGAAGGCCTTCTGCCGATCTGCAAAATTTGGCGATGACATTGCTCCTCGCTATGTGTCAATCGAGCGAAGAGTCGGTTACAAAAGATGAGTTAATTCCACTCAGCCTTATAACTCGAGGGAATTGACATTTTAAAAAGTTGGCCACGTCGTGGCGGATCAGGGTAGTGTGTGCTGACTCGTGTGGGCACCATTGTTATCACCATGCACAGGAGCCTTGGTCTCTGTGAAATCGCACCAGTCGCACGAGGAGACGGCCTGACCGAACACGAGGATACTCTGGTGTGGCTACTCCAACCATTGGACAGCTGGGATAGTTGATTTGAGCGAGCCTTTACCTAAGAGGGGTTCTTTTGGTGTCGGCATGGCGTCATGGTGCATCCCCCTTGGCTCTAGAAGGACTAATACTTTACAGAAACTTTGAAATGCATCCTCTGCAGGACTGACATGTGCAGAGTCTTGAAGCCGTCACAGAATGTTGGTTAGGGTGGCATGAATCTTGTTAAGAAACTCGAGAACGAGTGTCGGCGCGTCATCAGCGACGAGCAACGCTACTGTGATGCTGGTGAAGTCCTTCTAAAGGCAAACAACGCATCGTCTTTACCAGCAAAGCTTGGTAGGGGAATCTGAGCTACCTTGGTCCATCCGGGGCGTTCTATCGTCATGTATTCGTCTATCATCTGGTCCTTGAAGCCTGTGTAACCATTTCCATTCTGCGTCCCGGCAAAACAGATCACATCGCCGGTGTAACTCTCGATGACCTTGCGCGTAAAGTCCCATCCAACCACAGGATAGACGAGAAGCATGAGGCTATCAGGACAGCCAGATCGTCGACGCAGGTACTGTATCCCATCTGTGACCACAGTATCGGGTATCCAGACTGTGCGCCATTTGCTTTGCCCACTGTCAATGGCCACCACGTTCTGGCCCAACCGCCGTAGCATCAACGTCCAGTACCCGTTGCCACTGCCCATATCAATCACGGATTTTCCGCCTGCAAGCTTCTTGATGACTTGCAGTGCTTCATAGGAAGGAGCTACGCAGCCAAAATGATGCATAAAGACTGGGAGCAGATGGTGTGAAGACCGTACGAAAGATGTGTTTCGATTGGGACCCGCATACTCAAGGGCAGACACTGAATAGGCCCAAAAGTCTAGGGCTGGGTTCTGGTGCCCAACAGTAGTCCTTCCATCCTTGGCTGGGATGACCTTGAGCTTGGATACTGAGATTGAAGAGTCGAGGTGTCTCTTTGACGACAAGTAGTCGGCGACGGTAGCACGGATAGAACCCTTCTTCGCATTCGCTCCAAACGACCTCAAGCTGTTGGCGGCTACCTTGGAAGGGTCGAATAAAGATATATAAGCATACACGTCAGCAGGGGGTGGGTATCCGCTAGTCTGTGAAGTAGACTGGCCGAGAACGCTATGATCGATATCACCCTCATGATTGACTGGTGACTCTGCAGACTCTAAGAGGATGGGGTGCCGTTCGAGATACCACGCATGCAGACCATTAGCTCTCCCGGCATGAATCGCAGCTTGCACCTGACTCAGATTGACACTTGCGGAAGCATGATATGTGAAACTGTCGCCCACGGGCAGGTCAAACGCTGCACACACGGCAGCTTTGACCTCATTTGCTTCGAGATGGGCGTGGATCCTGTTCCAAGGATTCTGATCGTCCTCAATCTCTGGAAAGAGATACGAGGGTGTCCACGTCTTGGAGCCATCTGTGGCGGCCGGAGGTGAGGGGGCCATCTGCCAGGCTCCTCACGCACGATGGTCGTGCTCGAAGGGTGGATTGGTAGAAGGACGAGACCGCTCTAAACCTAGAATGATGTGCGAACTGAGCATCTACTTCCACAAAGGATAGGTGACAAATTCGTGGTTGATTGGTTTCCTCCAGTATCCTCAAGCGCCCTTTAGTCGGCCGCAAAGAAAGGGCAAGCCAGTTATTCCAGGTTAAGATACCCACGTCATCGCTGAACTTAAGATCTCGTTATCGAAGACTTACAATGTTTCCATCCACCAAGGTCATGCCATGTCATGTCATGTGACCATATACTTTGACTCTCGATGAATGCAGCCTTGATCTCGGCAAATGAGGCGAGCGAAAGCATGCGTAGAGTTAGATTCATAAAGGGCTAAAAGCAAGCAGAGGCCATTTGCCATTACGGATCAGAAATCACCCATTCATTACTGCTTGGTGGTACATAACTCCGTCTATCTATCCTAGCAATCAAACATGCACTTTTCGATCTCTCTAAATCAAGTCGGCTCATGCTTCAATTGCCTCCTCTCCAATTCGATGCTCTTGATGCGGAACTTGCCAAAGACGGCCACGCTGAATGCACCAGTCCGCATTATGTATTCTTTGAAGGGCCATGACGCAGTTTCTATTCGCTCTTGAATGCTGGTGGAGTCTAAAATGTATCCGTGGGAAGCTGTCGGGCTTCTTTTTTGAAATGAACCATTGCGCAGGAGGCCCCGATTGGCAGTAGAAACCATCGCCTAAAACTAGACGGGAACCGCATCGCGCGAGCACTGACGAAGGTGAAAGAGCTCACAGGACTTGTTGACAGAGACTTAGTTGGCAATCTCAACACCACCCACGGCGCCAATGACACGCTGTGATGAATTAGCAAGGGTGACTTCGAACCCAATGGGTGAATTGAGACATACCTTGATATCACCATAGATGGCGAATTGACCGGCGGTCAAAGTTCCGACCATGAACAAACGAGCACCAATACCAGCATAGCTACCGCGGAAACCAAGTTCCTTGGCGATCTTAACCAGTCGAGAAGTGGTGCCCTCACCGGGCAGGCCTTTGGTCTTGTTGATTTTAGAAAGCATGGTGTCAGCGGGTTGGGAGACCAAGGCAGCGGCGAAACCGGCGATCAAGCCAGATCCCAAATTGATGACGGTCTTGGTTCCATCAGAAGCAGTGTTCTTGTCGACGGAGCGGTAGATCTGCTCGGCAACCTTTTCATACACGACGAACTTGGCCATGGTGTAAGGGACCTGCTTGAAGAGGATGGGGCCGAAGCCGCTGTAGAAAGCACCGAGACCTTCTTGGCTGGCGATCTTGCTGAAACCGGAGACAAGGCCGGATGCAAAGGTTGGTTCGGAGACAAGACGAATACGGGTCGCTTCAAGAGGGCAGAGGGCAATGTCAGCAAAGAACTCGGCGGCGGCGGAGGAGGCGAGGTAGACGGCGGTTCGGTTGTTAGAGGCGGTCTCATAGCCAAGGAGGTTGATGGATTGTTGCTTGAAGAATTCGTAACCTCCAAACTTGAAGGCGCCTTGGAGGAAATAACCGGCAAAGGTAGGACCAACACCAGTCAAGAGAGCACCTGCACCCTCGTTGGCAATGACTTTTCGGAAGCCTCCGATCAGGCCAGTGTTGTATGTGACGGGGTCGAGCTGGATTCTGGTTTTGACGCTACAATGGAAAGTGTCAGCAGGCTGGAATTGAGGAGGTCGAGGTTCAAACAGGGCCGACGTACACATCAACAGGGGTCAAACCACCGTGGGTGACGGAACAGCAGACGGCGCCAGCAAAGGCCTAGGTTCAGTTTAGTGTCAAGCTGAAGAGGTGAGGTAAGGCGAGCTTCAAACTTACGAATCTGCTGTAGAGATCCAGGCCAGAGAGCTTCTTGGGCTCGCTGGCAGCGATGTTCTGGATAGCGCCATCGATCTTGGTAGCGGCCATGGTGTATGAGAGTGGAGAGTTCAGAGGCTAGGCTGTGGTTGCACAAAGGACAGAGAAGAGAGAAAGGTTCTAGAAGGAAAGTAGGCTTGGATGTAGCTGCAAGGGGATGAGATTTTCTAACTGCGAAAACAAGCTGCAATAATGAAATACGACGACGAGGATGATTCTCTGAGGTATGGAAGGGGCAGCCAACCTTTTTTTTCGGCGTCTCCACTGGGAGGGAGGTTACAAGGGAAAGAACGGCGACGATGGTTGGGAGAAGGAAGCTGCGGCCAATTGGAGAAAGCCCGGAAGTTGCAGTTGAGCAGCCGGTGCGTAGGAAAGGCACTGCGAGGGCCATGGTTGCACCTACTGGGCTGTTGATTGCTTGGGAGGCGGGTTGGCGGCGAAAAAGAACCGGGCCCTGGGGGCGTTGAGGCGAAGGGCCCGTCTTGCCATAGGAAAACTGCCGCACAGCCGAACAAGTAGCTGGCTGGGAGCTACGAGTACAAGAGCGTGCTGTTGCGGCCTTTGCTGCTAAGAGGTACCTAGGGTGCTAGGTTCAGTTGCTGTCCAATGATGATTGTCACGTGGGCGGAGATGCCTCTTGGCATGTTTTACTCTCATCATGGTTCAGGCGACGGTCTGCTTCGCCGGAGCGGAGATAACAACATTATGCCCGAAACCTCTGGTCGTGAGAGTACGGCGTATGCCCTTTTGCCTTGCTGGTGGGAGATTCACCTGTGTCAAACGAGATGAACTTGTGAATTTGTCATTGGCTTCTTTGCATGGCCCAGACATTGTTCTTTCAGTCGTCCAAACATCAAAATGGTGTATCGAGAACACTCAACTGTAGGGATGAGCGCCCACGACTAGGATGTTACCTCTGAAAACAAATGGCTCGGGAAGGTCAATGGGTAGATGACGCAACTGGTGCGAGCAGTGCCTTCAATATATGCTTGGGGCATGCTGTCCCACGTCTCAAAAGGTGTTACACGCTGATGCAAGGCTCGGTGGCGCAGGTAAGTATTTGAACCAGAGGGCATACTATACATTATTGGAGCTATTGGCAGATGGCAATCGATCTGGAGAAGCCACTTATTCCGCTCGTTTGTAAGGTGACTTGACATGACCTTCAAAAACATGGCTAATCATACAGCCATCAAACAGCGAGGATGGCCAAATAACTCTTCGCCGGCGTGGGGACCACATCAGCATCACTCAGCCTCTTTCGGTCGAGGATGACACCCACCCCTCGCAAAATGTAGGGTGCAAGGGCTTCCGTTGGTAAATAATGATAAAACGGGGATGTGATGTTCTCACGAGGTAGCCACCGAGTCGGAAATGCTTCACCCAGCTCTGAGCGGGAGGCATATCCAGTATGCTCATGCTCAGACAGCACAATACGGATCCTTTCCTGCGATGATCAGGAAATGCGATGTGCCGCGGTGGCTGAGACGGCGAGACAACTAGGCTTGTGGTGCACAGACCGAGAAGTGGTTGATGATATTTTTGAGATGTTGAGCAAATGTCTCAGATCCAAGGCCACGCCTGAAATGCGAAACACTCCCATAGTTCGACCGAGTCGAAATTGAGATAGATATATCGACAAAACAGTATCAAGCTTAGAACAAAAGATTGTGAGGGCAACATGGCAGAGCCCGCACGAAACTACATATCAGCAGGACTGCCTGATGTTGTGGACTCAAAAGTGGCCAGAAGTCCAGTCTGCCTAACAATGAAAATGGCCTATAACAACTTGGGAGGTGAGTTGGGCCGGCCTCGGCGCAAAAACGTCAAAACGTGTCAAAACTGTCAGCTCCTGAGTTTTGACGCACACTATTGTGTGGACGGCAAAAGGGGGAACTGATTCACCCTGTCGCGAAATGAACAGCACACGAATCGCGCTGGATTCATTCATTTCTTCATATAGCAATCAATGTGTTATCTTCTGGATGAAAGAAAGCAACCAGAATTCCTCAATAGGTGATGCGTGTTGCTATTGATCGGCAAGGCGAGATATTGCGTACGCGATGGCTTCCTCGAGCGCCCCGCAGCTAAGCACGTGCGTTTGGCGCGGCGACGGCGCTTTCCCAGCCAAGGGGTCGCCAAAATCCAGGCGCTCCTGCCGCGTGCATGAGCCCGGCCCTGGCTACTGGGAAAACACGTCTCGTGGAGCAGACGCGACCCAGGCGTATTGTCCGTTACTAGCTGATACCAGAGCAGGGGCTAAAGGCAAAATTCAAATGACGGGACGTGCTTAAGCCAACGTCAAGTCAACAATCCTTCATCAGGCTACACCATGTGTCTCAAGCCACGGACTTCTAGGCAGACACTCGTCCCCTATGTTCCACCTGTGGCTGTTTTCTGCGAAGTCAGTGTCCGATCCACAAGTCACCTGAAAGCATTGAACCAGAGCGTGAGTATGAAGAAAAAAGACCCGTGGGTTCGGATTCGCAGACGATTCAGCCCTGCTCGAGCTATGTGGTATTTCCTGTATCTGGTCTGTCGAGTCAACTGCCTAGAGATTCCAAGGGACAACGCCCGACCTCCGTCGCCACATTATGTCGTGAACCATGTATCAAACCCGAGTAGCCAACAGTCAGTCTAGGAGGATGAAAATCAGCAAGAGTGCCCCGGTCCCTACGGCCGGCCAGTGATAGTCGGCAGCGAGAGAACAGGGCTACTCATCGCGATTGCAGTCGAATGTAAATGTGAAATCAAATATGCACCCTTCCGTCATGCGGATCCGCTCCTGTCCAAATATGTATTCCATTAGTCCTGCCAAACTGCACGGCTCGCCCGCCGCAGTGCCCAAGTCGTGTCAGAATCGTCTAGTGGCGACGGTGGCTGAACTTGCGTCCACCGTATTGAACGCCTCGGCGAACGTTTGTTGGAGCCGGGACATCTGCATCAAGATCGCCCGAAGGATCAGCAGTAGTTGTCGGAGAGGCGGTAGTAGTGGTGGTGGCGGATGCTGTCAAGGTCAGTCTTGCGCCCAAAGGAGCAGGCATGTGGGGTTACTTACTGTCAGGATCCTCAGCGACCAACGACACACCCACGCAAACGAAGGAGGGCTGAGAAGTGAATAGGATGAAGACTTCATTCTGGGTGGTGACACAGAAGCCAAGGTTGGCAGAGTTGATGGACAAAGCACCGCTAAGAGAGATCGAGAAGGTGGCGGTGTTGACGCTGAGAGTTGCAGTCAAGGAGAAGGGAAGGAATGGCTGGCTGCTGTCGGCGTCAACAAACAGACCACCGGAGGTCAAGATACCCTCATCAGTGATTTGGAAGGAGGCAGCCTCAGAAATGAAGGGGGTGAGAACAGCATCCTCGCCATCGAATCGGAGGTACTGGAGAGCACGCTTGTGGTACTTGGCATTGCTGTTGACACCAACAACGAAGTTGTTGGGGTCAACGGGAATGACAGCGAGAGAGGTGGTGGTGGTCTCGGCAGTGGTGGTGATGGAAGCGGTCGTGCTGGTGAACGACGTAATGGTGGATGTGGTGGTCTCGAACGTGGTGGTGGTCTCCTCAGTTGTGGTGGTGGTGGTGGTCTCCTCAGTTGTGGTGGTGGTGGTGGTCTCCTCAGCTGTGGTGGTGGTGGTGGTCTCCTCAGCTGTGGTGGTGGTGGTGGTCTCCTCAGCTGTGGTGGTGGTGGTGGTTTCCTCAGCTGTGGTGGTGGTGGTGGTTTCCTCAGCTGTGGTGGTGGTGGTCTCGGTTGTGGTGGTACCTTCAATAGGTCCTTGGCTGCTGAAGCTTGAGGTGCTGGTGGTGGTGGTCTCCTCAGCTGTGGTGGTGGTGGTGGTCTCCTCAGCTGTGGTGGTGGTGGTCTCCTCAGCTGTGGTGGTGGTGGTCTCGGTTGTGGTGGTGCCTTCAATAGGTCCCTGGCTGCTGGAGCTTGAGGTGGTGAGAGTGGCGCCGACTGAGGTGGTGGAGAGTGTTGGGGAGATGGTGACGGTGTCGGTGACGGTCTCGGTGTTGGTGACAACCCAGTCGCCCCAGTTGCCTGGAATTGGCTTGGAAGGGCTGGTAACATCATCACTGCCCCAGTCAGCCCAGTCGTACGCATCGTCTCCAATGTTGTCGACGTTGTTGCCTCCGCCTGGGCGTTGAGGCCACCCTGGGAAACCGTGCTTGCCAGTGGGAACAGGGACAGCGCTGGATGTCGTGGGTGGCTGTCTGCTGCAAGGTGCGGTCCAGTAGATGGTCTTGGTGATTGTGGTAGTGACATCAATGGTCTGTCTGGCACGGTGGCACACGCGAGTCACATGTGCGTAGTATGGTGCGGGTGCAACAGTGATGGTGGTGGTGCCAGCGGTGATGGTCTTAGCGGGGGCCATGAAGGGGAAAGTGAAGGTGTAGGTTCCAGCAGATGGAGCCACGAAACGAGTGGAAACCGGTTGAACAGTGGTTGCTGATGAGGATGGTGCGGGCTTGGAGATCCAAGTCTCGGCATAAGCCATGCACTTGGAGCCACCGGGACCAGCTCGGCATTCAACAACATCTACAACCTGGGATCGGCTGCCATCAGGCTGAGTGTCGCATTCTGTGCACAGACCGCTGCCACCATACCCGGGGATGGCCAAAGGACCAAGCTTGTTGTAGGGGGCAAAGAAGTCCTTGGCGATAGTCAGGTAGATGGGAGTAGGGCCGGGCTTGGACGTGGTGCCGTCCTTGGTGACAACGGCGGTGGGAGTGACCCATTTGGTAAGGGTCGTCTGGAATCGAGAAACTGTGACCGGTTGGGCGGTGGAGGTAACAGCAGTCTTTCCCTCATGGGTGCCATCCCAGGCAGCGGGGATGACGGTGCTCACATAGGCGAAAGTCTCGAATGGGTGTCGAGTGACGCAGGAGCCGCGGAAACAAGCCGACACGGTCGCGCAAGTCGAGACCTCCTGGTACTGCTTGGTGACGGTGATGGGCTGGATGGTTGTGCTTGTGGCTCCCGGGCAGGGGTTAATGACTGTAAGAGGGTCGGCAATGGCAACACCAGCGAGCAAAGCCGTCGCGGCGGCCTCGAAGGTGGAAAAGCGCATAGTGAACGAATGTAATGAGTGTGGTCTCTGAAAAGAGTGGCTGAAGGAAAAATCCTTCCAAATATAACAAGCGAATGACTGACCTGTGCGGCTGTTGTAGAGATGGTTGTAAGAGAGGTTGGGAACGGGGTGCGAGCTTCACCTTCTATATACACCCATTGTCGTGACCTCCTGTCCTTCCAAGACTCAAACAGGAGGCTTGAAGTGGGTTTGTGGTGGAGGAAATTTAGTTTAGGGAGCAGCGCAATGATCTTAGCCTGGACGGAGTGCTAGGCCAAGGCAGGCAATCTGGCGCAAGGCTCAACTGGCGCACAAGCAGCAGGAGTTGGGTGCAGTCCGCAAAGTGCACTGTGGACGGGCATGGGCCCACAGCCACAGCCGAAGACAGTCGGTGACTCGAGTCCCGGAGGTTCCAGGAGAGCCAAATTAGAAGATGTCAGCGATGCCAGAGGGTGTGGTGACAGCGATGGCAGAACCAGGCAATCTCCCGGCTCTCAGACATCGATGAAAGGCTCGACGAACAAGGTGAGAGACACCGCATGGGGCCGTCCAGTAGTGTGGATATGGGCCGAGTAATCAGAAGCCTGGCGCACGAATGTCTGGGCGGCGGTTGAATGAGACCGCGGCCGATTTTGTGTGTGAAGAATCCATATCAAAACGGCGGCGGTGGGAAGACCACGGCTCTACAACTGATCAGGGGACAGGAGTCGATCACTTTTCAATGATCCAAAGGGTACAACAGCGCTCGATGATCCTCGTTTATGCACGTAGGTCCAGCAAAACCGATCCAGGAGCACGTGGAAAATCGCCACGGATGCTGATCATCGTGCAAGGTAAAACCCGAGGGGGAAGATGGGCCTGCTCCTTGGGGGGATCACCTTCGGAGAGTGACATCGCGATACCTTGAGTCAAACACAAGGCGCTGTCAGCAATCTTGCTTTGCTACGTCGATGTGTGTTGACTGTAGCTTGTGTAGGCGAAGCACGCCTGGCTGACAGCAAACCAGCTCAATCTGACAGGAGCCAGAAGGAGCAGCTGGCGGTCCAAGCGAATCAACACAGGCCTTCCCAACCACCACGGAAGCGCCAGAGCTCATGACGATCTTCGCCACTGATGAAATCCCGCTTCAACGTCGATGGTCCGAACGCCTGTGAAGAGGAACGGGGCTTGAAACTTGATAGGTGCTGCGAGGTTGTTGTCAAAGTATCAGCGTCTTGTGCTTGATTTGCAGTGACGTTAAAACTGGGTTGCAGGGGCTTGGCATCGACGCGTTTTTCTTCCTGCAACTTTACTCCGTAGAGGCAGGAGCCGTGCCAAGATCAGATTTGATACAGCAATGGTAAAATTACCGTCGGCCACCCCTTTTAGGCCTGGTGCCTTTTAGTCATTTGAACGGCTTCTCGTGTCCCTCTCCACCGCGCGTCTCCTTTCTTGCTTTTCGGTTCTGCCACCTCGACCTCCCTCTACGGAGTATGTTGGCAATGGATGGTCCCACTAATCTCATCGTTATCTCGAGTGCTCTGAATCGAATCTTCTGCACTGTGACTCCACCTCCTCCTCGCCTCGGTGTCCCCTTCCATACACCATTTCCTCTGGCTGCTCTCAGGGCCCGGACCTTCACCTGTCCACATTGTCCCCCCAGCCTTCAAATCCACATTTTTGCTTGGGACTGTCCCGTAGATTCTCTTCCTGCCCATCTCTCTTCTGATCACAATACTCTAGGCCAGTCACAGGTCTTGGTATTTCCAGACTGCATGGCCTTTGAGAGGACTTGCAATGCCAAAGGTGGGTCGTTTACATTGCCCGGCTCCGCCAAAATACCATTCTATTTCGACTTTGGCTTGACGTGCACATGATCTACTGCCTCATCGAGAGCATATGGAGCTATCAGAAAAGACTCCTTGTGCAACCCCATACAACGATAGGTCCAGCTGAAGGATGGAACTGGTCGACTTGGGTATTGACATGTTGCCCCTGACCTTGGGTCTCGCAGTTGGAATTATCACTCAAAACTCATGCCATCCGTGCTCTTAATGCCACCCAGTGATTTATCCAAACACTGCTCAGACCTCTGTCGTTCGTTGCAAAACATTGACCTACACACACACTCGAGCCGCTCTCAATTTCTCTTGCTGTCAACTATTCATTTATTCTCACGTGTCTGCTACTTTTCATAATCTCCTACTATCCGCCTACCGTCTCTCGCTTTACTGCGACCCATCAGAGTCAATTTCTTCAGGCCAGCAATCTCAAGACCCCTGCCCGCTGTGACGTCCAAGCAGCCCATCGTTGGCTGGCTCTAACTTTTCCCTCAATCATGGTCGGCCTTCCTCTCGAGGAGAACAGAAGGTGGGCGCGGAAGAATTCACAGAGTTGGCGTCGACCCTTGGTGAACACTCAGCGTCCACGGCGTCCAGTCTTGCTTGTCCTCGTTTGTATAGTCTGCCTAGTTCTTTGGCGGCACTCACATCAGCCATCTCAGTCGCCTCACAGAAATGTCGTTGACGATGGTTCCTCGTCGCCATTCTCAATACAAGACAGGAGGTCCCTCCGTGACAGTTATGACCAGTTCTCGCAGAGGTCGATTCGGATAGGCACCGCCCCTGGGGCGCAGGATGATTCAGATGTGCGGACGGAAACCCCGGCTGCAAAAGATATTCCAGACTTTGATCTCAAAGTCCAAGACAGCGAGCCAAATCAACAACATCATGCCCAAGGCAAGCCCACGACACCAAGAGCAGGATCAGACCCCGAATTACCGTCCGGCCCCGAGATCGTTGTCTACGCAGGCGTACCAGTGGAAGATGCTACGTCCGACGGGCAAAAAGATGACTTGATCATAAATCCATTACCAAAGGGGCCTGTGGCTGTGAAGGCAAACCTCGACCCATCAAAAGAGAAAGAGTTTCTCATCTCCTCTCCGGATCAGCCAGAACGGGAAAAGGTTATCGAGGCGGAACCCCTGGACCATCTTTCCCTGGAGGAAAAGGCCGACAGTCTACCAGAGATCATTCACATTCCTTTTGAGGATGTGGTTGCTGGCAGCACCCTTCAGGGATGGGAAGACCGCTGGATTTCTGACGCATCATATGATTCCAAGGCATGGGGCAAGTTGGAGGAACCCAAGATTGACTTTGTCTACCTCTGTAAGTGAAGGAGACCCGCTGGCCGAACCAAAACCTGACTTTGCAGGGGTCAATGGCTCACAGGATGAGTTCCAAAAAACCAAACACCCTTATGAACTCAACTCTGTCCTCAATGACGATGAAGGCAAGTGGCTCAAATCTCATGGCGTCAACAGATACCGAGATTGGGACGAGTTAAGGTATTCACTCCGCAGCTTGGAACGACACGCTGCCAAATTTCGAAACAAGATTCAAATTATCGTCAATTCGGTGGAAGGAACGCCCGAAGGCAAACAGGTGCCGACATGGCTCAATGATAACCCGCATACCCAAGAGACGGTCGAAGTCCTAGCCCAGGAGGAGTTCTTCGATGCAGAAAAGCACGCATGTCTGCCGACGTTCAATTCACTTACCATTGAAAATCAACTCTTTAACACGCCGTCAGATACTGACTATGTAAGAATGTCCCACGATGCTATGAATCAAACTAACCAGTCCACAGTTGTATGCGTTGTCCGATGACATGCTCCTAGGGAAAACGCACGCGGCATCCGACATTCACTCTCCTCTGTTTGGGCCAGTGATGGGATTCAAGACGAACTCTTATAGCGCAACATCGCCGCCTACGGATGTAGACGCCCACCGATTCGGAGAAAAGCCTTTCCTCATCTACACGTCCTGGCTACTAAATCGAAGATTTGGGATCCGAAAGCGTAAGGGTCAGGGTCATTTCGGGCACGCTTTGTCTCGGAGCATTATGCGTGAAGCCATCTCGTCCTTTCCTGGGCCTGAGCTCCAAAGTGCGTGCAAGCGCTTCCGAGGAGAGCCAGGTTTTCAACTATACTCATGGTATGTGACGTTCCACTATCTCATCGAGCGTCACCGTGAGGCGCTTATTTGGAGCTACATTATGCTCCGGAGCGATGTTGACGGGGACGGAAATCTTTCATGGGAAGAAAGGCAGACCATTATGCAGGATTTAGAGACTGGGATGAATAATGAAGGTCGAACAACATATCGCAAACGACACTACTATCACGTGTCTCAATTGTTACAAAAGGCAGGGTTGGAGCCACCCAAGGTCAATACAGACGTTCTATGGACTTCGTTGGATGGCCCCCAGGCGATTCAAAACGCAGACTGCATCGAGTTCGATGTCAACGAGTGCCTGGCCCCAGGATTCTCCATTTCCTCGACAGACTCCCACAGCAAGAATCCCATGTTCGCCACGTCAAATATTTTTGATCGACTGGCTCGCCAAGAGCCCAAATGTGGCGACTGTCTGCTAAAGCTGGTGCTGAACAAGACACCCAAAGGGCTAGGCCCACTATTACCGCACGCCGGGAGCCAGCAGGATCAACGGGATCTTGTGATCAAGGCAGTGATGCGGTATCGATATACCATCATCAATCCTGATGCGCTCTTCGTCATGGTGACCGATGCTGAGCAAGTGGATAGCACACTGGTGAGCCGATATGTCCGGTCCAAGAAGGAGCTTGCCGGGCAGCTCTGTTTGAATGACGATGTCTCGACCAATGATGAGCAGGAATTGGCGGACGTGAAGGAGGCCATGACCGAACTCTACCAGGGACTCTTTCCCGATCCGTCTCCATTCGAGAAGTAGAGGGCATTGGGCCACTTGAGATGAGACTATGACATTTCACTTCTGCACATTAGCGTTTGGATATAGCAAAACTCCCACTGTAGACAGTGGAGGGGTTGCTGATGAGATGCGGGACGTTGGCGCTGCGGGACAGGGTCGACAGGACTCGACCTCAGATGTCGGCAAGATTTGAAGAAGAAAGGTTGAGATGATGATTGGAAGTCTTGTACAATACTAACTACGATACCTCCCACCAGTCGCTAGATATCTAATCGACAGTCAGAATAGACAGATGGTCTGCATGAGGCATGCAGCTTTTAAACAGAACAGGAATTTTTTCGGCATCTTCAGTCTGGAAACTCCGATTTTACCTTTAGGACTCTCGTATTATCTCAAGACTAAAAAGGTTCTGAATGGCATATGACACAGAGAGAAGACTAGGTATTCAAACGCAGAGAGTAATAAATAGCTGATAGGCGAGGCGTGTCACACTATACCACGTGACTTTATGCTAACACAGGTGAATCTCAACCCTCTGCCTCTCCACGAGAAATATTTCTTACTACCAATCCTACCGCGAGGTGGCATAGGAGTAAAGTTACAGTGTTTGTGTACTCTCTCTTCTACCCGACAAATCGGCATTGTAGGCATCGAGGGGCAAGCTTGCGCATTTGATCATTCTTTAAAGTCAGGGGATCAAACTGACTCGCGTCATTCGCGGTTTCTTGCCCGACTTTGTCTGGATAGACGCGTCTCAACTCAGATTTGTCTTGATATCATTCTCCTAGCACTGGCACCAGCACCGGCATCTTTTACCACCTTTGCCATTTGTAGCAGTCACCGCTTAGTCTTCGCTTCCGCATGTGGTCCGGCTGTTGAACTTCTATTGTGTGGCTTCCAGGATATCGTCTCGTACCAGGCCACAAATGGATTCCTTACTCAAGAAACATGCTGCGTGGAAGGTCCGCAATGCAGCACACGCGCTGCATCTTTCCGAACAGGAGGAGATGATAGATGTGAGTCAGAAGTCACTGCCTAGATGTTTTGAACTGACACACTTGCCAGGCCTTTGTAGACCTCGTCACTCGACAAGAGCGTGAAATCCAGATGCTCAAGACCTCTGCCTCCGCCTCCGCCTCCAATCCTGCGGTTCCAGATATCAGCGTGCCAATTCAATCTGAAGATGATCGTTTCGAAACTCTCAAGAACGAATTGGAACAGGAAAAGGATATCAGGGCACGCTGGCAAGCACGGGCCAAAGATGTCGAGTCGCAGATAGTATGATTGAATCCGACCCCTGCTAGCCCCTTGACTGAAGGATGATACAGCATAAAGAAGACACTCTTCAAGTCCTTGTCCTGATCGATGGTAACCACCACTTTTTTGACGATGCCCTGGTCAAGGCTGGCCCGAACGGCGCAAGAGATGCAGTACATACACTCCTCGACGAGGTACGAGGCTTTGCACGAAGCCAGCACAAACACGATTCCGCCCCTTTGCCGGAGAACATTAAAGTGATAGTCCACATCTTTTCTGATATGGGTCGATTAGCGGACGATCTCTCCACAGCCAACTTGTTGACTGACGGCGACGCACTCTGGGGATTTGTGCAAGAGATTTGCAAGATTGAACCCTTTGTCACCGTAAGTGACTGTGGCAGCTCTCCCACGGCCGTTGACAGTAAGATCCAAGGCAAGTACACATCGCCCAACTGGCAATTAACCAGGCGTTGAGCGCCTCACTAACAACCGTTCAAGATTTCTACTCCTTGTGCATCGAAAACTGCCACGTCCGGCACGTCTTCCTTGCAATGAGTCCTTCCTCGGAGTATTATAACACCCTTCAATTGTACAACGACGATGAGTATACTCGAAAAAAGACCTCTCTTGTTGAGCCTGGGAGTGGATTTCCTTCCGGCCTCGACCTTGCGTACCACACTGCCAGGTTCTCGAGCCTAAAGGCGATCTCCTCGACCAGGTCTTCGGTCCCTGAGGGTCGCATTACTGCCCCTACAGCTGAGTCTAACCCATGTATTGTTTCAGCAGCGCCCGAGAAGACAGGTGCCACGTCCGATCTATTGGGTTCTATCGATGGGGACTGGGTGGCGGACACAATGAGACTCTCCAAGGTGGACACGCCTCCAACCACTGCAAAAGGGTTCAACTGGGAGTCCGAGGGAGGCCACCTTGGTCAGGCCCCGATCGCCACAGAATGGGAAGATGAAGCAAAGGATACTTCTTCAACAACAGCCAATATACACAAGCGGGAAAAGAGTAGCAGGCCCACCCATCAAGGACATCTTGGGAGAGGGGGGGGAAAAGGAAGGGCTCCTCACATTTTCGCTGTCGAGACTAATGGTGTCAAGGGTCACGGGTCTCATCCTATACAATCACGCCTTGAGCAACGAGGTGTGCGTGAGTTTGAAGGGTCGTGGGATGATATACCCCCGGACCAGAAGTCCACAACAGAGGGTTTCACGCCTAACCACGATCGTCCTCCTTCAGCGGCCTCTTGGTCAAGAGCTCCCAGCTCAGGTAGCTCCTCCAGGCCGGATGCTCCAGTCTCACACATGTCCAGAAGTTCACCAACTGCCGGGGCTGCGGCTTCTCCTATGAGGGCCGCGGCAGAAGTGAATGGACCTAAGCTCGGAATCATCGGCCGCCCTGGATCGTCATCTTCATCCAACGAGTCGGCATTCCTATTAAGTACAACTCGTGGCGTCAACGGACTAAGCAGGAAGACGTTCCAATCGAGCCATGTGAGGCAGAGACAACCGGAGCCAGAGCGCCGACCGATATTTTCCCCAATTGCGGTGAACAAATACGGCCAACGTATCGATCTATCTCTCCCGTTTCCCACCAGCGCCGAGCAAAAATCGTTCCGGGACCGTCATTTGACTCACAAACTGTGCAACAATTACCACTTGCGAGGAGCTTGTCCACAGCCAGAGGGAAAGCAATGCCCGTATGATCATGGGGAGATTGACACAAGCTTATACCTGCAATTACGCTCGATGGCTCGACTGATCCCATGTGTCGATGGACCCGATTGCCGCGATCCGACGTGTTTGAATGGCCACCATTGTCCAAATGTCGGATCATTGAGAGAGTGCGGTCGGCCAAACTGTCCTTTTGGTAAAGCTGGAATGCATGATACTCGACATTTTGAGGTCGTGAAGATGATTGATGTACCCGAAGTTCGAAGCTAGGTGTATAGGGAGTTGAGACCTAGTTCATGGAGAATTTCGCCTGTCGAATTGAGCCAGCTATGTCACGTTCGAAAAGAATGAAGTCACGCTGGAGGCACAAGTGTGCAACCCAGGTCAATATGGATCGCCGTATGGACTGCTGATGCTATGAAGCACGTCAATAACATGCCAGGGTATTGCGTAAGATAGTCAAGTCACCGTACCTGTCTCGACCTTAGTTAGGAACCGACCACATGGGATCGGCATATTGAGACGGTAGCCTGGAGCTAACGTGTTGAAAAGCATAGAACGGCGCCTAGGCGACGTGCATGGTTTTCTGGTGGATGGTGAGCGGGCACGCAAGACCCATGTCTTTGAGCTCAGGTCAGGCTCGAGTGACAGGACTGGAGACCGCAGAGCCAAAGACCAGCGGGTGTTGGCAGAGTCGTCAATGGTTATCGGAAAGGCTCCCAATCAATAGCACGCAGCCAAGTTAATCTCTTTCCATCTTGTCCGCATCTCTTTCTCCCCTCGTTCTGTCATGACTGCGGCTCCGACTCTTGCTCCGACTCCGGCTTCTCGCAGCGGCACGTCTTCCCTTGTTGGCGGTAGCACCAGATCGGGCCTTGTTGGCATCCTTTGGTGGCGGCCGTACAAAAGCATAGTCGACGGAGATGGTTTGATCAAGGAGTTTTGATCCGTTGAGTGCATTTATCGCGGCAGATGCTTCCGGTTGGGTGGAGAACTCGATTAGAACGTAGCCCTGTTATTACGGAGACAACATGGAACATTAGCCCGAGAATTGAGAGGTCTGTACAAAGGAGGAAAAGGCTGGCGAGCAACTGAGGAATACCAACGAGGGATCATGCCTGGGCATGGAAAAAGGAAAGTAGCCACAGCAAATAAGTTGGTGAACGTACCTTGACGTAGCCCGTCCTGCGATCGAGGTTCAGATGCAAATTCTTGATTTCACCATACTCGGCAAATAAATCAGTGATATCTTCTTCGGTGGCTTCTTCGTGGATGTTGGTGGCAATGACGATCCATCCTTCGATACTACGGACGGCAACAGCGTTCTGAGCCGTAAGGGCTTCGGAATTGGCTCCGGTGGTACCATTGCTGGCGGCAGACTTGCTAGCAGCGTTGTTGTCGACTTCCATTGCGGTAGACATAGCGAAGGAGCTCTCGTAGTAGTGGTGGTGGTGGCTGCGGCGGGGTGGTGCGAATGAGCGATGCAGCCCAACACACGCGGTGAGATTCAAGAGTAGGGTGGATGCAACAACAGGGGCAAAGAAAACAAGATTGGACCACCAGGCGAAAGTCCCAGAGGCAGACACCTATACTGTAGATCTGGGAAAGCCTTCAGAGCGTGAGATCACTTGCTTGTTCACTGGTTGTCTGTCGCTGGTTCGAAAGGAATCAATGGTACGCGGCAGAAAATCAGAAGCACAACAGAAGCAGCAACAAAAGCAGCAAGTGGATGAGTTTTGGCTTGGCGATGGAAATGATCACGTGGCTTCGTGGAGATGAACGTGGATGGTCATTTTGTGAGGACTCGTACATTATTACCTATGTATGTACATAGATAGTACTTTTAAGTCATGCGCGATTGTCAACGTGGAATTCCTTCTCATTGTTTCAACTTAGGACTCGGGATCCCACATCTCTGCAACTTTAGATATTTGGACCACCTAATTCCAGGTGCTATATTTGTCTTGACTTTTGAGACTGGAGAGAGCATTGCCTTGATTGTCGTTCAGGTGGAATAATATATTTGTGGGGATTGATTCCGAGGCAGTCAAGGAGAAATCTAAAATATATTCATCTTCACATTAACATCCACATTTACATATAGGGCTGCAAGCACACTTTTTCGTGACATCTCAGCATTAGATTTATCGAACGAGCATCTTCAGAGACTCTTTAAAAGCCCTGAAAGACATGCCCTTAATTTCTACATGCAAAGGCAAATAAGCTGTCCAGGAATCTCGAACGAGGCACGACAGTTTTCTGCAGATGACATTTGATTGTTGCAACATCATCATGGACCAAGATTTGCTTGTTTTCTGTTTGCTTACGCTTACATGCAGGGAAACCACAATGAGCTCACCCAGGTGACAAAATCCTCAGACCGTCTCGCCTCATAACATCTGTCCCCAGGCTGCCCTTCATATACATGCGACTCACAATCCTCATAGTTTGGTGACCAGAAGCCTCTATTGATGTTGATAGCAAACACCAGACAAGAGGCAGCCCTACATGTTCCAGAGGTTGTCCTCTCTTCTTGCGGAGCTGGGGATCGTCCTTATGTGGCCTTTATAACACCGATTAAAACGACCAAGGAAATGTCGGCTACGGGATCGGCCGAAATCCTGGTTGTAGAGTTGGCCCACCCAATGCTTCTTCCAAACTCCCCTACTCGCTGCAGACCAAATTGGGTCAGCTAGAAGAACAGATAAGCAATCAGGAAACTGAGCAAGCAAAGTCCTGCGACAATCTGCAGAGGGACACCGGATTCGTTGGATTGTTGCACGACTGTTTGCACTTTTTCACTGGCCTGCTGGGCCTTTCTCTGCCGAAACTGTGGATCTTGCACCTGGGCGCTGAGTTTCTGGATCTGAGCTTTGGCTGCAGCCAACTGTTCTTGCAACTCCTCGTTGGACGTGGGAATGCTTCGCGAAATGGCGGCGGCGGCGGCGGTGATTCCGGTCGCCTCGGCCACGGAAGATGAGCCCCCCCGGCCCAGCTCGGAGCTCGAATTCTTTGCAGGCGTGGAAGAGGAGGCGACAGGGGCGGGAGAGCCGAACTGAGGTGAGGGGGACGAGTAGGCTGGCGGTTGTTCTTCTCCAGGGTGTGATGACGATGATAGCGTGCCATTGGTGGAGGCACCTACCGCAGGAAGGAAGTTGACACGAATCTTCTTTTCCGAGATGGAGGATTTGGCCGTCTTCTCCACCTGTTGCCAAAGTGTGGTGACGTTGGGATCCTGGTCAGGGGATGTGAGAACGGACTGGACAAGGAATTTGTCTCGGCATTTGGCGTCCAAGGGAGGCTCTTCTTTCATGGCTTGCAGGAGAACTGGGACGAGTCAAGGAGGGGTCTCTTCAGGAGTGCGGCAACAAGCGAGGGAGAGAACGCACCTTGGACTTGGACGGAGTCATTGGGTTGAATAGTGCCCGAATTGGGCCTCACACAATATCTGAAAGACATTAGTAAGAGATTGATTAGGCGACGGAGAGGAAGTTGTACTGTTTTGGCGCGGTTGTCTTGACCTAATCGTGGAGCGTCGTTAGCATCAGCGCAAGCGTGCGGCCATAGAGAGCACAGCTTGCCTTGAAAGCGACAGGAGATGAGTTGTTATTGATCAGCTTGAGCGTCTCAGTGACCTCACGGTCGAAAGGGCCTATAATGCAATCAGTAGGGGATCAAAGATAGGCAGGAGAGGTCTCGCGTGCGCAGAAGTGGCAGGACGGGGTAAGGAGTTACTGACGTCTGAAGCCCAGTTCGGCAGGATCTAGTTCAACCGACATGATCTAATTCTGATGGGAGGGTATGGGAACTTGGAGGCACCCAAAGTTCAAAGATATAATGTGAGGATGAAAGTGCGCAGGGCCAGAGGTAGATCGATGGTGTTCAAGAACAAGTGGTACAACAAAGAACCTGGAAGTGGGAGTTGATGTCAGAGGCGATGAAGACAAGAGATGGTCGCGGAGCGGGTTGCTGGGTGAGGGACGGGCACTACAAGCAGGTTGTAATAACCAAGTCACTACTAAAGTACTAGCAAGTCCAGCACCTGGGAATCAAGTGATGAAGGGTACCTAGGTACCTTAGGTAGGTAGGTACCTTAGGTAATTAATTGTGGTCCCATTGTGTCATGCAGCCAGCAGGTCGAGCTTTTGTGGCCTGTGGGAGATACCGTCAACATGATTGTTCAGCAGCCCCTAGCAGTGAATGACGCCTACTACCCTGCGAGAAACAGTCCCTCGGCCTGTGGTTACCACCTATAGGCGTACATAGCCGTGAATCTACCCCAGGTAAAGCCACTGAGTACTACGGCCACCTGGCTCTGACGCACCCTCCCGTGCCTCCTGCTAGTTCACAGCATCCAACAGGCGCAGAAGGCTACCTCGCTTACCGCACAAGCCACTGGCACAGGAAACCCAGCCACTTCAGAGTGCCAGCCTCATTCACCGACCTGGGTTTACACTCACTCTCTAACAATCCCGGAACGACCTCATTCTTGTGATTGGCGAGGGTGATGATGATCGATATTCGATAGTCACTCCCGTGTCACTTTGTCACCGTCCACTTATGCACTTATGCGTATATGTGCGCATGTTTCGCAGTTGACAGGCTCCCTGGTCTTGGCATTTGGTGACGCAACTTCAGTTCCAATAGTGACAACAGGTTCCAGCGCCGCGCCTGCGAGCATCAGAATGTTACTGGTGACAAGCAACAACAAGGCAATCCAGATCACCAAGAAGTCTTCTGAATAACAACTGATTTCCCACCCAAGTCCTCGTCCTCTGCAGACCTTCTCATCATCCACTAGCCCAGGTGCAACCCTGAGTTGGGAATTGCCACCCTCCATCTAAACCCCCCACTCGAGACTCTCCATCTCCCTTCACCACCGCAGTGGCTACACATCTTCGCAAAGCCAAATAGATATCCAAAAACCAGGCCAAGATGGCACCCTCAGATTTAGAGCAGTTGACTGATATGGGGTTTGACAAAGAAAAGAGTGAGATCGCCTTAAAACAAACTGGTGGCCGTGAGTCTCATTTTCAATGTAACCTATGAACAGTTGCTCATAATGCTTTAGTGGCCGAGGCAATCGATTGGTTGGACAAAAATGCCGACAAATCGATAGATGACCTTAAGGCGGAGCAAGATGCACAGGCTGCCGCGCAAGCCACTGAAGACGCTGAACAGGCAAAGAGCCTGGTTTGCAACGAGTGTGGCAAGAAATTCCGAGGGACTGCCCAAGCCGAGTTTCATGCCTCCAAGTCAGGACACACCGACTTTGCCGAGTCCACCGAAGAAATCGCCCCACTGACCGAAGAGGAAAAGAAGCAAAAACTTGCTGAACTGCGGGAAAAGATGGCACTTAAACGAGCAGCACAAGCAGAACAGGACAAGGCAGACCAGCGGCGCAACGAGCAGATCAACCGGAAAAAGACCAAAGAGACCGAGGACATGAAGGAACAGCTCCGGGTCAAGGAGCAAATCAAGGAGGCTGAGAAAAAGAGACAGGAGAAATTGGCCGACATCGAGGCCAAAAAAAGAATTCAAGCCAAGATCGCCGCGGACAAAGAAGAGAGAAGGCTAAGAACAGAGCGGGAGAAGGCAGAGAGAGCGGGAAATGCTGCTGCCGCCGCTGCCGCCGTCGCCGCCGCCCCCATTCCGGCAGCTACTGGACCAGTTACCTCCAAGCCTGCTTCTGAATACAAGGAATCACGACTACGACTCCAGACAGCAAACGGGAACCTCATGAAGACCTTTCCGGTCGAGACTACGCTATTTGAAGTGGCGGCAGCCATCTCAGACGAGATCGGCAGAGACGTTGAGAGCTTCACGCAGAACTTCCCCAAGAAGGTGTTCAACCAAGAGTACTTTGGCGAGACATTGAAGGATTTGAAGCTGGTCCCGAGTGCCAGTCTGATAGTGCAGTAGGTCTCCATGTCTCCTTTGCCCGAGATACCAAACGGGGTCTATTTGGCGATGGCGTTGGCATGGGTGCGCCTGGGAGCATAAAAACATTGTCTTGTGGGCTGTGATTGCGATTTGACGTGGCCCGAGCTGATTCGTCTTGTGAGAAGGGAATATCCTCTGCCTTGGTAGAAACTGAGGCACCATACTTGTGTGGCATGGAGACCTATCTGGTGGTGCATCACTCGGCGTCTCTCCGATGACCTTGCGCATCAGCCTGGCTGGCGGTAAAAGTCTACCACTTAAGTCTACCAACCAGAAGTAGAGGTCAATTCACGTGATGATGCATTTCTCACAGCGCGCACTTTAACTTTTCTCACGGCATATGCATGTCAGGCCGACAAAGGACTCGCGTCGTATAGCTGACTCCTGTAATGCGTTCATAATTTGTAGGGGCCAACCCCCAGAAAGTCCATGAGCTATTAGACTTGTTATGGCCCCGAGCCAGTTTTTAAAAGCTAGGTGAGGAAGTCGAGGTTCTCAGACATGAGTGTGGAGCCTGGCGAGCGACATCGCCCAACGTTTGATCCCAAGCCTCCTCGCCCCTCGCCCCCACTCAACCTCACTCCCTGCATTTCGAGATCCCCATCCAACTTGAACAAGACGACAAAATCATCTGTCTCGTCTCCTGATACTCTATCTCTATCGTCGACAAGCCTCCATAGCACCTAATAACCCGCATTCTTCTTCTCTGCTTCCTGACTGACGATGGCCTTTCGCCTCCCAACTACTCCCTAGCCTGAAATCGACCCTGAATCGGTATCCGTCCTGCTTCCTTCCATCCTCCCTCCCAATATGTCAACTACTACCGAAACACAATCACGCAGTCGTCGACAAGGCACGGGCACGGGCACACTTGATCCGGTGGCCAAGAGACAAGGAGGGGCACATGGTAGAACCCCGAACCAGACCTCGTCAACCGAGACAAAGTTCCCAGACGATCTATTCTTCTGGACGTACACAGAAGAACCTCACCGAACTCGCCGACAGGCCATCATCAAAGCCCACAAAGACATATTGAAGCTATGTGGCCCTGAACCACTCACCATCTATGTTGTCACTGGCGTAGTCACTCTTCAGGTCATCTGTGCTGCCCTGATGAGACATCACTCGATCCTGTCATGGCCCTTTCTTCTCACTGCATACGTGGTCGGAGCCACTGCCAACCAAAACTTGTTCCTGGCCATCCACGAGATCAGCCATAATCTAGCCTTTCGCACACCGCTATACAACAGGTTGTTTGCAATTTTTGCAAATCTCCCCATTGGCGTTCCTTATTCGGCCGGTTTTCGACCGTATCACTTGACACACCATAAATCCCTCGGTGTTGATGGCCTCGATACCGACCTTCCAACTGCCTTGGAGGCAGTTTTCTTCGACTCAGTTATCGGCAAGGCCTTTTTCTGCACGTTCCAGCTCCTCTTTTATGCCATCAGACCAGTCATGGTGTATAAGATTCCGTTTGGGCCAATTCACTACGCCAACATCATCGCTCAGATCCTCTTCGACGCGGCCATTGTCAAATTCCTCGGGCTCCAGGCTCTGATCTATCTCCTCATGAGTTCATTCTTGGCTGGTTCTCTCCATCCATGTGCTGCCCACTTCATCTCGGAGCACTACGTTTTTGCAAAATCGACCGTCAAAGGCGGCAAGATGCCGAAGGATGTCCCCATCCCCGAAACATATTCCTACTACGGCCCACTCAACCTTCTGACGTATAATGTGGGTTATCACAATGAGCACCACGATTTCCCTGCAATTCCCTGGACCAGGCTACCAAAAGTCTACGAAATTGCCCGAGAATTCTACGAGCCTCTCCCAGCACATAGGAGCTGGCCTCTGGTCCTGTGGCAATTTATCACCGATCACGAGGTAGGCATGTGGTGCCGAGTCAAGCGAGCCCAAGGCGGAAGAATGGTGGGGGCATGGCAAGATGGCGAGATTGAGAGCTGAAGACGAGGGCAACCTCTTGCATAGGTACCTACCTTAGAAATGAACCTCATAGATGCAGTTAACGTGGCTGACGGATGGCCTTGCACGACATGAAACTTCCTGCTGCTAATGCAGCGCGTTTGTCCGTCCCTCGCTCCTTCCTCGCCTTCGATCTTGGTCCTCCGCCTGCCTAGGCCCAATTCTAGTCGAATCCGATCCCCTTTGCCGTGTCCTTGCAACCAGACTGCACTTACTGACGAGACATTCTTGCTTGTCACCCGTACCCTCACCATGCAATCCTCTCTCTTATCCAGGGGCCAGAAGCTTCGAGGTCACATCCGAGCCTCGGGGTCGCGCGTCAGTCGTGACCGCTCCCGTGGCAAATCTCGCGTACGCCGGCACCCTTCTCCCCATCTGTCTGCCACTCTCAAAAGTGCTCAGCCCCGTCGTACACCTCTCAGTCGACCACCAGCGTCTTCCAACGACCTTTCCAGCCAGCGACCATCGAGTCGAGGTGTTGAAGCCGGCTTTGATCTGAGCTCCAACGACGACGTCCTAGACCACGTCATCGTGGCTATCGATGTCCGGGATAAAGATAGGGTGGGCTGCGCCTGTTATGTTGCAAGTGAGGAAAAGCTCTTGTGTATGGAGGAGATTGGCGGACTGGGAAGCAATGATATTATCGAGAAGTGTAAGGACATCCGGGGAAAGCTGCGTGGCGCTTCTCACGGTCTTGCAGTGAAGTTTGACTTGCAACCAACACATCTTCTTTTGTCCAGCCGTGCAGACTCCATCTCGAATGCAACACAGGCTCAGCTTCGACAGGGCGACAGCCTCACCCACCCAGGTAAGAGTCACCGCAATCAAGTCTAGTCAGTGATTGAGCCGGCACAGACGATCTGAATCAACCACTGCCGTATCAAGTCAATGTCCGTCCCGCATCTGATTTTGCCATCGAATCCTCCGTCGACAAATTGTTGAGTCTGTCATGCGTTGTCAGAGACAATCATCGAAGCGTCTTCCTGGCTCCAGGAGATGCTCAGACGCTCGACGAGAGTATGCACCCACAAGACCTGGGGATGACCACGAAGAAAGGCATCTTGCTTCAGCTCTCTTCATGGCTCGATCTTTCCAATACCATCAGCATCGGTTGTGCCGGTGCCGTGATTTCCCACTTGCAACGGACAAGGCATAACGAGCTTGTCTCCAATGATCCCAACGCACCTCTCTTTGGACGCGTCTCGAAAATAGAGATGTTCAGCTTCAAGGGAACCATGTACCTGAGTCATCCTCTTCCCGCAGCAAAAGTAAAGTGACTAATCGAAAAACAGGATGGTTAACACAGACACTCTAATATCGTTGCAGATCATCCAGCCCGACACCCACCCGAACACTTTCAACCAAGGTCCGGGATCATCGGCACCGAAAGAGTCGCTATCTCTGTTTGGGCTGTTCCAAACCCACGCCAGATGTCCACAAGGAAAGGCTGAGCTCCGAAGGATCTTCCTTCGTCCGAGCTTGGACAGCCAGGAGATCATTGATCGTCTGGACTTCATCTCAGTCTTTATGCGGCCCGAAAATCAAGCATCCTGCGCAGCCTTGAGCAAAAGCTTGAGTAAAGTGAAGAACATGAGAACAGTCATGGCTCTGCTCCATAAAGGGGTCGATGGTGGCAAGCAAACCCAGAACGTTTTCACAGGTGGAGTGTGGGCATCTCTGCTCGCCTTTACGTACCACACCATCGACATGGCTGATGCCTTGATGGACGTGCTTGGATCTTCCCAACTACCTCTCGTCGTCCAGGCCCTGAGAGTCCTTGACCGAGCACGTTTGCATGTAATTGGGAAGAAGGTCCACGACGTGGTCGACCTTGAGGGTTCGGCTGACCAACATCGAACTGTAGTGAAGCACGGGGTGAACCAGGATTTAGACGAGATCAAGAGCTTTTATGACGGCATGGAAGACATCCTCTCCATAAAAGCCATCGAAATTGCCAGGGCCATACCACCAGACCTTAATCCACCACTGAATGTGGTGTACTTTCCTCACCTCGGCTTCCACCTGACTGTTCCCCGCGACACCGTCACGGGCAACCCTATTTACTGCGGCGACGAACTCGGATGGAAACAAATGTTTTCCACACCGGCTCAGGCATATTTCAAAGACCACAACATGGTTGAGATGGACCACGACTTAGGCGACCTATATGCCGCAATTTGCGACCTTGAGATTGAAATCAGCTATAATCTTGCCCAGACGGTCTTAGAGGATGAGACGCTCCTCGTGACAACATCGGATATTTGTGGCAGCTTAGACTGCCTCCTTGCCCTAACTCACGTGGCCATTCAATATAAACTTACTCGGCCTGTGTTGGTCGATGAAAATGTTGTTGAAATCAGAGGCGGAAGACACCTGTTGTATGAGCTGACGGTACCATCTTTTGTTCCCAACGACACCCTCCTGCGGGGAGGATCGGGACATGAAGAGGATGCCCAGAGAACTGAGAAAAGCCCAAATATGATACTGCTGACCGGTCCCAATTACTCGGGCAAGTCTGTCTACCAAAAGCAGGTGGCTTTGACGGTGTACATGGCCCAGGTGGGTTCCTTTGTGCCAGCCGAGGCTGCCATTCTTGGGATCACAGACAAGATCTTCACGCGAATCACAACCCGCGAATCAGTGTCTAGGACACAGTCAGCATTCATGATTGACATGCAACAGATGGCAATTGCATTGAATTCTTGCACTCATCGAACCCTCGTGGTAATTGACGAACTGGGCAAAGGAACCGACGCGTGTGATGGCGTGGGGTTGGCTATAGGTGTTCTCAACCACCTTCAGGGGCTGGGATCTTCGATGCCAAAGGCTATCATGGCCACGCACTTTCACGAGATCTTTGACATGGTTTGCTTAGGAGCTATGGAGCATCTGTCACCGATGCAGATGGAAGTCAAAGTGCGTACCGGCCGGCCAGGACATGACTTTGGCACACGAGATACGGTAGCTGCAAAGAACTCTGATCAGCACGGCAGTGAGGTAACGTATCTGTACAACCTTCGACCCGGACGCAGCGTTGCGTCGTACGGCATCCAGTGTGCAGCCATGAACGGCATCTCGCCTGGAATAGTGGAGCGAGCATGTCAGCTTGCACGACTGGCAGAAGGTGGAGAAGATTTAGTGTTGACCTGTTCGGCATTGAGCGCTAGTGAAGAGGGAGAATTGGAAATTGCGGAGGACACTGCTAGACAATTCCTCGCATGGGACCTCGACGCCCGAGGAGAAGGTAGACACGACCAACTTGTCTCCATCTTAGAGGAGTCATTGGGCATTGTGAGTGAAGAGGCGAGTGATACGAATGTGACTAGGCTGAGTGCTTGAGTGGGACAATGAACTTCGGCTTTGGAACAGGGAGAGAACTGCTAGACCGGTAGCTCTGGCGGAAGTTTGTCCATTGGACTGCTCACACTGAACTGTTTGATATGTACCACCAGAGCAGTGGTGCAAGTAGAGATGCTAGAGATGTGGGCTGGCGAAGCCAATACAGAACAGCGTCCAAGCGCTGTGCATATGTCTTGACTAGGTACTAGGTGCCGGATTCGCAAGTTTGGTGCCCGTTGACGACGACCCGTGCCTCTTTCCCCAGGTGCGACATTTGGCTAGGATGTCTGGCAAGGCGAATAAGATGGCGACACTGCCCAAGAAATTCCAAAAGACGTCTTGTATAGACATGCGCAATGTCCCACTCATGCCCACTCCGCGCATCAGATGGCCCAAAAAAGCGGTGGTAATCATAAACTCACCCTTCTCCAACCCACGGATGGTGATCTGCGCCACCTCGTCCGGTGTCTGTGGTTTATCGTCCTTTTCCAGTTCCAAGGTCAGAAGTGGTTTCAACTGTGTCTCATTCTCGAAGCCGGGGGAGGTGATACCCATCGGAAGGACAATGTGTACTTTGATATCGGCGTCGGAAGATCTAAGGCTCGCGGATTTCGATCGGCGGGCTCCATTGTAGACCTCGACTTCTTGATGCAAGGTGTCGGCCAAGGCACGCATAGCTGCCTTGGCGGGGGTGTACGGAGCATAGCCAGCGATCGGCACAAAAGCCAATGTACTTGACGTGAAAATGATATGTCTCGCTTGTGGTGAAGTCTGGGCCTTGGCCATGGTGGATGGAGTTGATCCCTTCCATAGATTTAAGGCGGCGTGAGCCATGTAGGCAGCACTCCAATAGATTGTGTCCATTTGACCACGTAATATCTCAATATCAGCATCGGCAAAGAAGCTTGGATGGCAATTTCCGGCGCATAGAAAGAGGAGATCAGGAGGCGCGCTAGAATTCCATTCCGTGACCCGGCGAAGAATCTCTGGGGCAGAGGTGGAAGAGCGAAGATCGTAAGAGAGGCCGAGGAAGCGCTGGGAAGAAGGAGAGGAGGCAATGGAAGTGAGTTGTGACACCGCGGACTGGATTTTGGATTCATTTTGGGCAACAATAACGACGTGGGCGCCATGGCGCGACAGCTCGTGGGCGAGGGCCAGGCCGAAGCCCTGCGAACCGCCAGTCACAATGGCTGTGCGACCCCTGATGGGAAACTGATTTATCCTGGAGGTGAACGGCCACATTGTAGGGAGGAGGACGTAGCGCAGGAAGACAATAGCGAAAAAGGTGAAGGTGTAAAGTAGATATGGATTTGAGGCGTAGAAATAGTGTACTATTGGTTGAAGAAAGTTGTTTGAAGACATCAGGGTGTTGGTTAGAGTGCAGTCGAAGCGCACAAGAAGAGATCGGAGGAAATTCGTCTTACGGACCTGGTCCGTCTTATGGCTGCGCAATTTTGAATGGTGAGATTCAAACACTTTTTGGAATCAAGGGAAAGGGGTTGAAGGACTAAGGCATGCTGGATGTCTGACCAACGAACGGTGGTTGGCTGACAGACGTTGAAGACAAGGATAGAAGGAGACCGGGCTCAAGGTTTCTGGTGGAAGAGTAGAGCGAGCCTGGTATGCTTTGACTAGAGCTGGTTAAGAGTGGGTGATTAGACCGTGTCGTCGATTGTCATTGTCGTTGTTATTGTTGTTTCGGCTGTCAGCATCAGCGTACGGAGTATATGAGGCAGGGGGCCCCTCGGCCTGCATATGCGCCCGCGCCTGCGCCCGCGCCCGCGCCCTTTTGAGATGCAAATAATAGAGAGCCACGGTAGACCACGTGAGAATATAGTATCTGACTCATGTTACGCCAAGACTGCATATGTTATGACTCGCATCGCATGAAAAAAGTTCCTTGACGTAGGCACATCTTGGTGCAATCCTTTGTTTCTCCAATAGTACACATTCTTTGCCTGGCGCAGATCTCGGGAAGCCCTTCGAGGATTCAAAGGGGACGCCTGTGTCACGGATCTCATCATGGCCAGGAAACGCAAAGGCGACAAGACCAGCGGGGCCCCTCGTCCTACATCTGATCCTGACCCTCTAGACCACTTCGACGATTCTGAGGATGAATTCTACGCCGGCAGAGACCAAATTTTGCTTGCAGAAGAACCTGCAGCGAAGAGACAAAGGTTACTCCAGGAGCAGGAACATGATTTGCAACCAAGCGATGAGGAGGTTTACGATTCAAGTCAAGGTGCAGGCAGCGATCAAGATCTGGCTTTGGATGACGAAGAGAACGAGGAAGAGGAAGAGCAAGAGGAGAGACTCTGGGGCTCCTCCAAAGCCGACTATTATAATGCTGATGCCATCGAAACCGAGATAGACGCCCTTGAAGAAGAGGCTGAGGCTACTCGACTCCAACAAAAGCAGCTCAAAGGAATGACAGATGCTGACTTTGGTTTCGACCAAGCAAAATGGATCGACGACAAGGAGCCACCTCAACCCCAGCAAAGGCCGCGTACCGTGGAGAAACTGCCAGAGTTTAAGATTCCAACCGATGCCACTCCGGAAGAACAATCACGTATTCTGACTACGAGATACCCAGAGTTCAACCCTCTAACCACCGACTTTCGGGAATTGCAGCAAAAATACTCGCAACTAAAAGAAGCAGCGGGACTCAGCCTAGAATATTCAAGAGACTATCAGTCTGAGGCCCCGCCTGTCGCTGTTACACAGTTTCGTGCCCTGTCTGCATACCTTGCTGCAGTGGTCATGTACTTAGCCATTCTTACCTCTTCCAAGTCAAGTGTTGCCTTGCCACCTACAGAGCTGCGAGATCACCCAGTCATGATTGATTTACTCCGTTGTCGACAGTTATGGCAAGATGCAGAGGTGTTGAAGCCATTGTGGGAGCCTGCCACCTCGGACCTGTCTCCTTTGTTGGCTAGTGGGGAGAGCAAAGCCACCGCAACCCCGCAAGACGCAACAATCACACGCCAAAAGCAACAGAAGAACGGTAGCAAGAGGCTCAAAGCCACCAAAGTCTTGCCCAGTCCCAGCCCAACCCCACCTCCGAGAGCGTCCGACTCGATCGTCGTCAAACCCAAAAGATCTCGGAAAACTAAGCGCAATGAACTGCAAGACCTTGTCAACACGACATTGCAGCATGCCACGACAGATGGCGACTCTGACTTTGGTGACGAAACTCCACTCACCCGTGAGGAAGCCGAGGAGAAAGCCAAGCGGAAGAGGTCACTTCGGTTTTACACCTCGCAGATTGCGCAAAAGGCGAACAAAAGAGGTGCAGCATCCCGACAAGCCGGAGGAGACGATGATGTGCCACACAAGGAACGTCTTCGAGACCGGCAAGACCGTTTGTTGCGCGAGGCTGCGGATCGAGGCCGCGCAAATCCCCAAGCCAATGAAGCTCTGGGCCCACATGATGAGGATGACTTTGACGACGAGCACATGCTCTCCAATAATCGAGTCGATGATGACGATGATGATTATTACAATACGCTAGTGTCGAATTCCAAGCAGAAGAAGCAAGACAAAGCCGCCCGTGCCGCTGCGTTCACCGAGGCGGCCAAACAAGGCGCCCAAGTCTATGCGGAAGAACAAATTGGCGACGACGGCAAGCGCAAAATCACCTATGCCATTGAGAAGAACAAGGGCTTGGCGCCGAAGCGGAATAAAGATGTACGAAACCCCCGCGTGAAGAAGCGGAAGAAATATGATGAGAAGATGAAGAAGTTGAGCAGCATGCGCCAGGTCTACAAGGGCGGCGAGGGCAAAGGTGGATACGGCGGCGAATTGACCGGTATCAAAACCAACCTCGTCAAGAGCGTAAAGCTATGATAAAGCTCTCAGACCACCATTTAAACTTCTTGTTTCACGCGTTCGTTGAGTGTGCTTATATTTCCTCCAAAGTTTTCATGCCATGTCTTATGCCGGCAAATGGGCCATCTTCAGTTCCTTCTCCGCATCCCTTGTCTACAGCAACAAGAGACACAGGCGACCTTGGGGCGAGACAGTCCTCGAAAAACACAAGCCGAAAGTAGTACCAACGCATGTTCTTTCCTGAAGGAAGCACATGGCTCTCTCGAACACGATTCCTCATACTGAATCTTGTTTGCGGACGAATCCTGCATCTTCAGATCACGTTATCGTCGTGACCGTTACCATTAGGTCCGCCCGAATCCATTGATCTATCGACGAATGAAATCGGCAGACTTGCAAGGCGAAACATGAATCTGCCAGTACTTCCTCAAGTACCCTGGCAACTGGTGACCGGGTCTGGGGACATCATAATCTGGATGTGTGATGCATTCGGCCAGCAACCCAGTCTTTTGGCCACTCTGCTGATAGAACAGAAAGCTTCCGGTGGTTTCAACGTATTGATTAACACCTTGACGTGCGTCAATGGTGGAACCGGTGGTCCAACTGAGCAGAAATGGCGCAAGGACTGGTGCGTCGGTCACGGAGGGATGCGAGGTCCCGACTGCGATCAATTAGTGTCATGCATGCATTTGTCAACAATATTGTCCATACGTGAGGTCAGAAACCATGCATCCGTGGCCCTGTCTAGCACTCCCCTCACCAGATCCTTGACGACGTCGAAATGTGGCCGACCAAAGAACAGTGAATGTCTGCGTGACCAAGAGTTGGAATGAATAATTAGTGCTGGGACCTGGATGTCGTCGTTGAGACGCCCGCTAGATTTGCCGCTTGTTGAGTACCAGTCAGCAGGCGCTGCCTAGAGTAGTGTGAAAGACTTACGGATCGAGGGCTACGACTCCCTGGAATGGAAGATCGTGAGAAGGTCCGTTCTTCAACAAGTGTAACTGTCATACATCAACCGCAAGTTACAACGCAGGGGAAAGACTGCAACCTACCGCAAGCGTCGCCCCAAACGAGTGTCCGCCAATAGTGGCGTTGTTGACGGCCAGACGGCCTTGCCAATGTTTGAGGTCCTTTCCTTCTTGTCGAGGGTTGTCAGCGAAGACAAGATCGCCGCGCCCTTCGTTGATGTGACGCAAGACTTTGATCGTTTCTTCAATTTCGACTTGCCGGAAGTCGAGTTGTGCTTGCTTGAACCAATCGCTATCGAGGTTTGAGCCATTTCTGTTCAGGTCAGCGTGCGTTATGGACTGTGGTACGAGCATTATTTATTCATCGTACATCAAGTGGCTCGAAGAAAAGGTGAGACGGTCGACATCCTCCACCCCTTTTTTCATGATGACGGATCCCGGGCCGCTCCCATCTCGGTGCTCCACAGCAACCACGACATAACCACGGCTGGCAATTTGGCCGAGGTATTGTGTATATTGGGTACGGGAGCTGGCATAGCCGTGGGAGAAGACCATGACGGGAAAAGCATCACTGGAAGACAATGCCATAGGATCTGTTCTTTGCACCTGTAAAGGAGTGCCGTGCAGTGCAACATCGACCTGCGCCGGAATCTGGGTACTTCCAACCGCAAGCCACAGCCCAAAAGTAAAGATGGAATCGGTCACAAAGTTGCTGATACGGACAAAGCGAGCATAACCTGACCCTACAATGCCCAGGGGTCGAGGTACCCATCGATGGGCGGGCTTGGAGGATAAAGCACCTTTGACGGTTGGATAGTATATGGTGAAGAGGACCGTTTCAACCTGTGTCTGGAATCAATTCGAGGAGGGAGATCCAAAATCCTGGAAACACTCACCTGAAACGCAGGCTGTCCACCCTGCTTGAATCTTGCGTCTCGAACAACCCGCTTCTCAATCGGCGACTCAATATCAATCGCACCGACACCATACTCGCCTCTGTATGCCGGTAGCCTGGACGAGAAGACCGGGGATGCAAAAAGAAAGCAGTATGTTAGATAACTCGCTACCAAGGCACCTGCGATATAACGCCAGGTCAATCGAGGTCGTAGAATCAGTGGTAGATGCATCTTCATCGAGTCTGGTATATGGACCGGCTTGGTCCCGGCCTCTCCTTCGACCAAATGCCAGAAGTTGGGAGAGTGATCAATGTGTTGCAGCCCAAGCGAGAGCAAAATTTAACTAGCACTTCCAGTATGTCAACCCTCTGAATAAGCGATACGGACCCCCAAGAGTTCGCGTCTGCCTGAATCCCTCACAGCACGAAAACGTTTATCAGACGTTGTATGATGACATCATCGTGGCGATCCAAAAGTCAACTAGCCCCCAAGATATATGTCGCAAAGCATCCGCTTGTTCCGCACATACCGTATATGTATATATCTGGATGATGAACCAATCAACCTATCACAGCGGCCCAAAATTACAAAATGCTACTGTCATGTCCTCTTGCGTGGTCACAGCAATGCATTATCCTTGACGCGGCTTGACGATTGGATCCTGTCAAAGGAGGACGTTTCAATCCTGTAATCTGGGCCAGACTCACTATCGGAGTTAAGGGTGTCCGGTGGTGGCTAATATCCGACAATATAAATGCTGTGATACCGGCCGTTGGCATCAGAGGAATGGTCGAATTGGAAACCACCACAGGAAGCGTCTCGCTGTTGTTGAACACTATGCCCACTTACAGCACAGCTAATGGTCATACATCTGCCCCGGCTTCACATACATACACATTTCTCACAGGGGCAATCTCTCATCCTAGCCACTTATTCGATCTTTGAGCCAAAGAACCGCCGGAAGACCCCTAGCAGCTATATCTAGACTAATTAAACCGATCCAACCATCATCATACGTGTGGTATCTTCCATCAATCTATTACACTATACTATGTCTTTTCTTCCTCAACACGATGCGTTCCAACCACTGTGAGGAATACATCTTCTAGGGTCGTTTCGCTGAAGGTGTAGTACCGTATTTTGAGTTCACTTTTGTTGAGCTCCAGGGACTTCAGTAAAATGCCGCCAGTGTTGGACAACCGTCCGTCCGCTAGCTGTACCATCTTTGGCACGATGAAACGAAACTGCCCATGAAGTGAAGTTGTCTGCTTCTCGGCAGCTGGAATGTTGTCAAGGAACCATTTCTCTACCACGTCTCCGTCTTCATCGGTCATATGAGGACCGTCGACATGAACAAGGTGCACGTAATACGCGTCGCCATGTCTCTTCCGCAGCGAATTCGTGGTGCCGACTGCAAGCATCCTTTTAGCAAGGATGCCGACTCGATCAGACAGAGCTGAAGCCTCTTCCATTGAATGTGTTGTGATCACGAGTGACCGGCCCACTTTGATGCCTTCCAAGGTCTTCCACATGACACGCTTCGCAACGGCATCCATTCCCGACGAAGGCTCGTCAAGTAGGAGAATGGACGGGTTACCAATGATGGCAATTCCCAGACTGAGTTTACGCTGATTCCCTCCCGACAACCTTGCGGCTGGGCGGTTGCGGAAGGCATCCAGTCCAACTGCGGATATCACTTGATTTACGTTGAAGTCGACGTCTGCCACTCCACGTACTTTGGCGTAGAATTTCAAATGTTCGGTCACGGTCATCCTGTCCATCGCGTCGAATTGCGGACACACACCTAGATGTTGTCGTGCTGTAGCCTTATCTGTCCTGATGGAAGCACCCTCAATCAAAACATCACTGGTCTGCGAGGAGGGTCGAATGTCGCCTCTGATTAAGCCAATTGTGGTCGACTTTCCTGCGCCGTTAGGGCCCAGAAGGGCAAACACCTCGCCATGCTGCACACCAAAGGTCACGTCATCAACCACGGTATCTCTCTTGAATCGTTTTGACAAATGGAGAAGCCTCAGACCGTCTGTCGAAGTTTCTGCCCGTGAAGTTTCTTCTAGGACGTCTGGTTCAACGTTGACTGTGTCCTTTTCCACGTCTTTTCCGGTTCGCATTCTCCCGATTCTTCCAACATGCGGTCGCCAGCCACTATCATACCAAACAAGAAAGGCATATGCTGCCATAGTTTGTAGAGTCAGATAAAGTATAGGTCCTCCGTATACTTCAATATTGCCGGCGTAGGATATATAACCTTGATTTCGACAAAGCAATTGTGACTGGTTCAAGCCGAGCAGTAACGCCCTGACAAGGTTGCCAGAAGGAGTTAATAGACCGTAGGAGAACTGCACTGCGTTCAAGCTCCTGAGCAAGGCTTCAGGTTGGCTGAATGTAATGAGAACCAGATAAAGAATGAAATAAATCAGCGCAAATATTGCCTGTCCGCCCGCAGCAAATGCAAATGCGGCTAGTTGTGAAGTGACGAATAACGAAACGATATAGACGAGGAGCGTGGAGGCTGTACCGTAAAGGAAAAAGATAACAAAAAGATATCCGGGTTGGAACCATAAGTTCGTGGTGCCCACCAGCAGTGCGATAGAAGCTCCACTTATTACGAGCACAAATAAGCCATCGAATGCCGCATTTGCGAGCCACAGAGGTGCTGCCCGAACGCCATTACTATAGTGAAGAGCTCGCACCTTGCTCAGCCGCTCAAAAGTCGGGTACAACGTGAAGAATCCGCACGCAGCGCACATGGAAAAGGTGAAGTATAGGACCAGCTGTAACGAGTCGCCTGTGCTGGCGGCTAGAGGGAGCGCAAACGTCGAAAATTGACTGATGATGTCAATGTTGGTTAAGTATGAATCCAGAGCGATCTTCGCAAGAGCAGCATACTGCGCACCACCATTGGCCCTGTAGGCTAGGAGTGGTGGGTTCTCTGAATCAAGATAGTAGCCACCGGGGACAACACTAGAGTAGCGCGTCTGTATGTATGACTGAAAGGCATCAAAATCAGGCATTAGTGCCAGCCGGCTTGAGTATTGAGCATAAGCAGCAGGCAATCTCCCAAGGTCAACTTGGTTTGCCGGCCCAATTGGGACGTCGAGCCCCCACCAGAAATCGAGTGCTGGCAGTGTTGCGACATTGGGATTGTTGGCGTTCGCACCGAGGGTGCAAGACAGTCCCTCGAACCCCGAAAGAAAGAACGTGGTTAACCCAGCAGTGAGAACTGGTACGATGACTGCGAAACAATATGGCAGGAAGTTCCGCGATAGAACCCGTACTCGCTTGCGAAAGACTATCCAAACTTGCTGTAGAAAGGTAGTCCCTGTCCCTGTTGCGAGATCCTTGATGCCATTTGGAGACATGGAGTATTGGGCGATCTTTAGGCTGGAGGCTTTGGCAGTAGCCTTGAAGACAGCTGGTGTAGATTGAGAAGAACGATTTTCCAATAGGACCTGCTCGTCGTGAATCTCGTCTGCGAGTTTCAAAAACACATCTTCAATCGACGGTGACAAGACCTCGTAATCTCGGATGCCCATATTTTCGAGATCATTGCACAGCTGACTGGCCTCTGTGGCATTTCGGAGGGTGAACTCGAAACCGTCAGGATGTTCTTGGAATCCATGTCGCGATGCAAAGGCTCCAGGTACGTTCCAATTTTTCGAAGTAAGAACTCGATAGCCGCCGCCAAAATCATGTTTTAGCTGCGCTGAGGTCCCAAAAGCCCGCAGAGTGCCTTTGGAAAGCATCAAGATATTATCCGAAAGCGCATCCGCTTCATCAAGCGCGTGTGTTGCAAGAAGGAATGTCCTCTTTCCTTTCTCTTGCAACAGAATCTCCCATAGCTTGCGCCGAGAAAGCGGATCCACGCCGGAAGATACTTCATCAATACAGCAGACTTGGCTACCACCGACAAATGCGATAGCCAGCTGCAGTTTTCTTTTCTGACCGCCTGAGAGCGTCTTGGCCTTTTTATACGCCTTCAATTTCAAATCACACGCGGAAATGAGATGCGTGATGTCTTCTGATGACTCTGGTTTTCCCTGTGACTTGAGGCTGCTGAAAATTCGGACGTGCTCAGTGACAGTGAGATCATCCCAGAGCACATTCTTTTGAGGACAAAGACCGAGACCCCCCGCGCCATCAAGCTGAATGTTGCCCTCTGTCACTGAATGTACGCCTGAGATTGCTGATAAGGTGGTGCTTTTGCCACTCCCGTTGGCGCCGAGCAGCATTATGATCTGACCCTTAATGCCAGTAAACGACAGTCCGTCCACGCCTCTGACAACGCTTTTACCCCATTGCCACCACCTTGGTGAATAATGCTTGCTCAAATTGTGGACTTGTATCGCAGGCGATTTAGGGCCACCAGGTATGCGGAGACTCCTATGTTTTCCTGAAACACTGTAGGCAAGAGATTCAGACGTCAAGGCCAACAAAGGATAGATAAAAAGTTGAACTCCAAGAAGAACGAAGAACACGTATCCTGGAACAGAGTTGCGTCCATTAAATGGTGGAGACCGTAACAAATCTGCAGGTGTAAGTGATCTCTCCCAGGAAGCCAGAAAGATGATGAATAACGTATAGTTGACCGAAGGAAAGATGAGACTAAGCGCGATCGCAACAGCATTGGACCTGACGATGAATTGAGCAATAATGGCCAACACCAAAGAGATGATTAGAACCGTAATTCCAGACAACTGGGATCTGCGGAAAAAGGTTCCGACAAAGAGCGCATAGCTCGTAAGGGCCAGTCCTGCCAGTAGATGGTATAAAATAACTGTCGTTGCGTCGGTGTTCTCAAAGACTAGTCGAGCAACGATGGCACCGATGGCAAGAAGCCCTGGGATATAGACGATATCGAATGCCAAGTGTTTTGACCCAAGCCGTAACATCTGCCTCTGCCATTGATGACGTGTAGGGATCATGACGTCGATGAGCTGAGAGATGCCACTTTCACGCTCAGCAGAAAGATTTCCTGGCAAATGATATGCAACGCCGCAAATGCCGATGAAGAAGACAACACCCAAATAATTGACCAAAGCCCGCATGAAAAAGGTCTGAATCTGGTCATCTCGATCTTGTCGTGTCTGGCTTGTGAAGGGATATGTTCTTATTTGACCTGGTAAGGTGGACTCTGATTGTGCCGCCAGCTGAGAATTGATCGCTTGAAGGAAGGGGAGAATAAAGATTTCAGCATCATTGTCATCTTGATCGATAAATACTCGCTGGGACAGGCCGAAATCCGAGATTGCAGTATAATTCCAGGTGCCGTCGGGTCCTTCTGATGGAGACGAATGGAAGCTCGCCGCGCCGTAACAACTCGATGTGCCGCGAAGTGAGCTTCGACATACTTCAAACAAGGATTCATCAGACTCCAGCAGATGTGTCTGGACTCCAAGATCAGAAAATGAAGTGACCAGAGAGGTGATGACATCCTCGATCTGGCCGCCATAGAATCCATTGTTGACAAAAGCCACTGTGTTACGGCCTCCTAAGCTTACCGAGCCATTGAACACCTGGCCAATATCACGCAAAAGGCGAGGCTCTCCGACTCCATATACTGAAGGCGGAAGAAAGAAGTTCCGGACATAAGAGATGAACCACATGTAGACAATTGGGAGGGCCAAGGCCCTCAAGGCGGTGGAAAGCCATCTTCTTCGTACAATGATCAAGAGATCTTTTCCAATGAGGGTAGCGGCCTGGCGGAGGAGCGGCATGTTGTTAATTCTGTCCAATGTCCTGAGAACTGAATCGTGCAACGAGGCGCTTGCCGTGCTAGCTCTGTGGTAAGAAAGGTGAAAAAGGTGGCATTAGTGGACTAAAGCAGTTTCATCCTATCCTACGGGGGCCGATTAGTGGATGTTGAAGTATAGAGCTTTGGTGAAAGTTGCCTGGAAGATGCTGAAGAATGTTAGTGGAGGCTGGATTGTGTCAAGACGACAGAGATCTTGTTCATTGACAACCTCCAGGAAAGAGGAAAACCGAATGGCCAATGGAGGGCCTTGTAGAACATTGGTGAGATAGTCTCCAGTACCACAAAACGAGATTTGCGATGATTCATGAGACTGATCATATAGGTTGTTTCCGATCGACTAAAGGAAAGTACTAGGTATTTGTGATCTCTTGGGTGCTTGGGGAGGCGTAGCAGAGACGGGATTGCGCACTCATGGCACTATACCTACTACTGTGCACAGATGCGACTCGCTGGCGTGGGGCGAGGCTGTGCAAAAATCCATCAAAGACCGATACTGGTCGAAGAATCGTCCAATTATGCTGCATGTTATTGAGTCTTTCTTTGATCAAGCCTTTTGTAGCATCTCACAGCCAAGATATATCTTCGATAGCCAAGAGCAATCGTCGTAATTGATGACGCGAGCTTTTGCTTGCCATTGGTGGCGCAGGGGGGCATGGATGGAGGAAGAATAAATCTACAGTGAATCAATACCGACTGATATGCAAAGTGGCAAGCCATGGGGCAAGCACAGGCATGATATATGATCCGCTCTAGAATATGATATGATCATTATCACGTGACAATAATCCGTTGTCATCGCCAGCAGGGGAAGTTTTGCGTTTGTACAGGCGCAACAATCGGTAGACATTTATCGATTTTCTTGGGCAACTGTTATCCAACGCACCACGTTCCTTAGGAAACGCACCAGGCTTGGCAGTCACGTGACCCGATAATCAACGCACCGCGCTAAACACCAGATACTTATTCTGCGCACTGGGACTATTTGCATCGATCTCACGCAACAACGAGGCAATTATCGCGTTTTTTGAATAAGTAGATATCTGTTCGATGATGTGCTCGACCGATTTATATAGGCTTCGTGAGATTTGCTTAAGAAATGGTGGAGTTCTTGAGAGATGAAGTAAAACTTGCCCGGATTGGGCTAGGCACCCGCGCCAGAACTAATGCCTAGTCTACCCCAGTTACATGAGGCTAATCCACCAACTTATATCGGCCAGGATATCTCAACCACGAATGAGGTTGATGATTATCTATTTTCACAGCTACAATTCTATGACTCTACGGAGCAGGATGATGCCTTTCTCGCGGTGGGAGATACCTAATTAATCCAGTAGAGGCAAGAGGCGGAGTTGCTCTTATTGCTCTAGGCCAATAATAGTAGACCCGAGGAGATACAGCCTTTAGAGAGTAGGCGCTCTCCACGTAAGCCGGTTCCTAAGCGGCATTTTGACGAGGTTTTTGGATAGCTTATCTACTGCAACTTCTCATGTATCAATATCATCATCTTCCCACTCATCCTAGTCAGTTTCATGCCATTCCAACAGCTATGGCGCCGTCAGCATAAACTGCGAGTGCGTTGAATAAGTTTTGGCATTGCCCGGCGCACCGCGCCAAGTCGCGCTAAGTCACGTGAGTGCGTTTCCTAAGGATTGTGGTGCGTTGGATAACAGTCGCCATTTTCTTGGACTAAGTAGGGTCGGTCATATATACTTCACTTCCAGACCCTCCAGATCGTCCTTTGCTTTCCACTGTTCCAGCAGTTCTAAGAACTTCAAGGCTCCGCCACCATACGACGCGTTTTTCGCAGCTCGGGCGTTGAGCCTGCCTTCATTGTTATAGTACCCCGGGGTGCATTCTTTATTGAACGCCTCTCTCAGCTTGCCCATCTCGATAATTGTATCTACCCACTTTTCCTCGGCCTCCTGCGTCGGCTGGAATGTCTTGATATTTCTCTTCTTCGCCTCACTGATCATATAGGCAAAATGATTCGCCTGTTCGCCTGTGACGTGGATAAAGTTCGGAGTCAGTGCCGCCTGGACAATCTGAACAAAAAACATGTTTGGGAAGCCTCGGGTAGTCCAACCGTGCAAGGTTGAAGCGCCATCCCTCCATTTATCAGAGATTAGGATGCCGCCCTCTCCAGCGATGTCGAAGCCACTGCGGTCCGTCCAATCGGTGGCTAAATCGAATCCTGTAGCGTATATCAAACAATCTAATTCGTACTCGGTCCCGTTAGCTTTGACACCTCGTTCAGTGATACTTTCGATGCCCTTCCCATTCGTATCGACCAGTTGAACATTAGACTTATTGAAGGTCTGGAGGTACTCATCGTGGAAGCAAGGACGTTTGCAAAACTGATTGTAGTACGGCTTTAGCTTCTCGGCGACATTTGGATCCTTGACAATTGAATCAACCCTTGCTCGAATTTGTTCCATCTTCGTGTAATCGTAAAGCTGCCGTTGCTTGGCCATAGCCTCGAGGTCGTTGGATTCTGGAGAGTCTGATGACGGTCTTGCAAGCAGCTTGCGAATGATGTCCGTCCAGCCATCGGCCACGAGATCCTCCTCTTGATAGCCACCATTGACAACAATGTTGAAGTTATCCATTCGCCGTTTCTGCCACCGGTCCCCTAGTGTTTTAACCCACTCTGGGTCCGTCGGTCGATTACCGCGAATGTCGACACTACTCGGTGTCCTCTGAAAGACGTACACTTTCTTAGCCCAATTGCCGAGATGTGGTACAATCTGAACTGCTGTTGCTCCTGTACCGATAATGCCGACCCGTTTATTAGCAAGCTTGTGTAGATTCCCATTACTGTTGCCGCCAGTGTACTCATAGTCCCAACGAGACGAATGGAAGCTATGGCCCGTAAACGTCTCGATGCCTTTAACACCTGGTAACTTTGGTCTGTGAAGAGGTCCTGCGGCAGAAACCGCAAATCGTGCTTTAATTGTATCGCCTCGGTCCGTGCGTGCAATCCATCGGCTAGCTTCTGCGTCCCAAGACAGATGCTTCACTTCGGTTTGGAAGATGCTCTTCTCGTAAAGACCATACCTCCGCCCAAGCATTTTGGCATGCTCAAGCAATTCATCATTCCGCGCATACTTCTCAGTCGGGACGTAACCAGTCTCGTCGAGAAGTGGCATATAGACATAACTCTCGATATCGCACTGAGCTCCTGGATACCGGTTCCAATACCTGAGCACTATGTTAGAACATAAGAATTATCGTGTCTACGCAGCTTACCATGTTCCGCCAAAGTCACCTCCCTTTTCTACGATTCTGATGTCATTTATTCCTTTTTCCTGGAGCCTCACAGCCACCAGTTGGCCGCCATAACCACCCCCAACAATAAGCACTTCCACTTCTTCGTCTATGGGGTCTCTCTGTATCTTCTTCTCGATGTACGGGTCATGCAGATAATGACCAAAATGTGGATCCCCATCTCGGATAGACCTATACTGAGCGACTCCATCAGGATTGGCAGCAAGGCGCTTGTCGCGCTCCTGGTCATATCGAGCTTTCAGGGCAGCCGGATCCAGTTTGATATCCTTGTTGTGCATCTGGTCACTTTGATGTTCCAGGGTTGACAGCGTCGAGGGCACTCCTGTAGTACTGGAATCGACCACAGTGCTTGTGTTAGGCACATCTTTGGTTTGGCCTAAGACTACTCCTAGTTGCGACGAAATAACTTCCGCTTGCGCCATGTTGTTGTAGTTTGGAGATAATTAGAGCCCGAACACAACTTAACGATAGCTGCTGAGATGCACTAGTACGAAGCCTTCTTATACATGGGTTTCTTTATTAAGTTATCCATGGTCATCTCACTGTGCCGCGGCAATGCTGGGGACCCCGCCGTACCCCTCGTTCAAGAATACTTCACCTGACTCGTGCGGGACATGAAGCTCGGTGATTTCGGCAGGTAGACTTGGACAGACTCGTACACACAAACTTCGTTACTGAAGTGGACTTAAATCAGACCCGCAGTTAGTCACGTAAATCCAATTTTGTTGACTAATGCAACGCCTCCTCTCATCATTTGCTTGATCAATCCTCCCTGTTGTTAGCACTCAGTCTTACGTATCTCAGCGTTGACTGATGTTCCAATCTACAGTACGGCTTCGAGATGCCTGAAGTCATTGACGTCTCACATGCACGCTCACTTGTGTGGACTGTGACAACACAATACGATGCGGCAGACATCATTCTCTACAACTTGGCACTGGGTGCAGATGGTAGCGATCTAAGCCGCTGCTTCGAGGGCCACCCTCGTTTTCACGCTCTCCCAACATTTGGAACTTTGCCTGTTATTGCAGCCATGGGCAAAGTCGCACGGTCCATGCCCGATTTTCTGCCTAAATTCCAGCCTCAATTCCATGTACACGGTGAGCACTATTTGGAGGTCAAAGCCCCCTTTCCCAAGTCGGCAGTCCTGGAAACCACAGCACGAGTTGTCGACATAGTCGCGCGCCACAATGGAGTGATAGTCGCAGTGGGGATCACGTCTGTTGATACAGCGACTGGGGTTGAAATATGTTACAATGAATGGACTTCATTTGTGCTGAATGTCCCTGGAGAAGGTGCATCCTCGAAGTCACTTGGCCGGGGTCCCAAAAACGAGCCACAGCCAGCACCGATAAGGGCTCCTGATGCCAGAGTCGAACACAAGACGTCACCCGAGCAAAGTGCACTATACCGAGCAGCATCTGGAGACTTGAATCCACTTCACATTGACCCGGTGACTGCTAGGTCTGGTGGCTTTCCAGGCCCCATTCTTACCGGTACTTGTACAATGGGGATTGGTGTTCGGCATGTGATCGACACCTTCGCAAACGGAGATGTTGGTCAATTCCAGAGTGTGAAGCTGAGGCTAAGTAAGCCCGTCTTTCCTGGTGACGTGGTAAGGACTGAAATGTGGCGAGAGGATGCCGGTCAACGCATCGTTTATCGACAGGTTTCTGA